CTGTTGAGTGAAGCTTATAAAATGCAGTGTGTTGTGAATGTTTTGAGTAGACTTCGATAGACAAATGCGAAATGATGCTTTGTGATTGTTTCCCAGTTTAAGGATAGAAAGTGAGCTGATAGGATGCACTGACCACCTCACTTCCTCAGGCGGTTGCGTCAGCGTGAATGGGTTGGTTGCTGACGCAACCTCTTCTCGGATTCAAGACATCCGTTTAAAATCTTTCTTAGGCCACCTCTAGTACCAGCGAGATATCCGACAGCTACTTATTGAAGGATGAGTATATTGCGCTGTACTTTCTTGCAGGTGTGAGACACGGAAGTTTAAAGTGTTAGATATGAGAAGCGAATAGGCTTTTGATCCCAGATATCTTTGTAGGAATGCGTATATACGGTGGAATCACGGTATTGGCAATCCTGAGCGTAGGATACTGAAGAGGCAACGCAAATGTTTTGATGAGGTTGTGAACCTTGAGAGACTGTAGTGGCTTGGACATTGTTGTTGAGACGAAAAAACCACTCATGTCAACGCGTAATATCAATGGAAGTAGAAATGGGTTTGAAGAAAGTCACGGAGGCCAGACCAAGAAATTACACTAGTGCATTAGATCCTTGACTGCTGGTCTCGATCCTGTAAGGGCATATGGAATGCCTATCTGAGGCTGCCGCGATTATAGAAAGCAATGGTTGCAGACTTTGTGATGCGGCCTAAAAGCAGTGGCAGTAGTGCACTTTTATTCACGCTTAGATTCTTTTTATTACTTTCACTAAGCTTCATTTGTCCACACTTTAAAGTAGTACACAGAGAACTAGTGGACAGAAAAAGAGTGATTTCAAACTAGAAAAAGTTGTGTGAGAGAATAAACAATCTGAAGATAACGGTTAGTGCAGTTATTCAAGTTTTAGATATCAAAGAGTAAATATATGTGGGACGTTGTGACCAATTCTGAGCCATGTCACCGAAATTCATCAACCACTGATTCGTGCCCTCTTGGGGACCCCAACCAGACAGTCTGTATCTCACTACACGACTCAGACCAACAGCAAGAGACTTCATGGACTAGTGCCATGTCTTGGTCTAGTATATCTAGTTGAGTGTTGGCTCAGCATGCGCAACACATTTCAAAGCCACTTAAGTCTCTGAATATTCACAACCTCATCAATTGACTTGCCTGCCTTCAATAGTACTCACACAGTGATTCTACCAAACAGTGCTACGAAGACACCTATGATCGAAACCCTGGAACCGCTTCGCGTCTTCTACCTTTAACGGCTATGTCTCAAGGCTATAAGGTAGTAAGTGAGAAACGGATTTTTTGTATCCGAGCTGAGATTTCGACAGCAACCAGCTCGTTCGGGCTGTTGCTACTTCCTAAGTAAGTGAAGTAGTCGTCACATTCCACAACTTCACACAAACTAGGAGCAGTTCCAGACCGTCCTGGAGCACTATCTTATATTTGGCAGGTGTGAAGTGCATACCAAGCATACTTAGCTTCCTGCTCAACGCGTTCACAAGATCCTGCGTTATATGTCTCCACCCAGCAGGATAATATCATCTGTATACTCCAAGTCAAACAGATGACCTCCAGGGAGTATGTCAATCTCTGTGAAGTCAGACGTTCCTGAGGCCATTTCCATTAGTACGTCTATGACGAAGTTAAATAGGAACGGTAACAGGGGGCGTTCCGGGTGGACACTACTAGTTGTCTTCAGTTCACATGACAACTATCCATAAGCCCTTGCAAGGCTGAGTGAGTTTGAAAATACAGCTTCCAAAGCACCATATGCTTGTTCGATACTCCCTTCACAGTCAACAGAATCAAATCCTGCTTTCAGGTCAAGGAATACGGCGTGTCGGCCATTGGCTGGTAGGTATGCATATATTCCAGAACCTATCGGAGTGTAAATATATGATCAGTGCACTCTCGACCAGGTCTAAAACCTGCCTGCTTTTCTCAAGCTCTAAATGGGTTACGCATAACTATGGACCCTAGGATATTGGATACAATATTAGTGAAGCCAATTCCCCTATTGTTGTCACAAGATTTCTCCCTCTTCTTATAGGCTGGTATGATCAGTGAAGTAGACCAGTCCGATGGAACTACCTTTGATTCACATACACAATCTATTACCTCCGTCACTCTTATCAACAATTTCCGACTTCCATACTGGAAAACTTCAAGCGACAAACTGTCAAGTCCCACTGCTTTGCTTCGTTTCAAGTTCGATAAAGCTTTTTCAACTTCAAGGAGAGTTTGAGGACCAACATCTCCATGCCATTTAGGTCCACCCTGGATGTTGGAGGATTGAGGCGTTGCCATAGATCAGTCGAACTGGGTTTCAAGGTGTTCTGCACAACGTTGTAGCCGCCTGTCCTGAGAGGTTATTAGCGTCCCATCCTTTTCGGTGATAGTTTCACTCACCGAAGTCTTTTTCTTGCCAGTATCCTTAGACAAGCCTAGATAGATAGTGGGCGTTAACCAACGCTCGCCCTCACCATCCGTACTGCTCGCGGTGGATGTGAAGACTCTTGATCAACTTACGTCTAAGTTGCTTTTGCTCTCCGTCGTGATCAGAGCCATCTGCAATCAGTCTCCTTGCATCAATCAGATAAGATGTGGCTTAAATTACTGAGGGTTGTAAACTTTTGGGTGCAAGTTACCAAATTTCTTTATGCAGACTTAATATAATGCTGCGCCAGGTTTCCTCAGAATGAGCATTGCTGCCGTGTCCAGATAAATGCCTAGCCAACTCCTGCCTTAATACGTATTTGGCGTCCTCGTCTTCAAATCAAGCATGGACAAGCTTTACTACTGCATGTTTCATGTATCTAGTAAGACTCAGACATACAAGAACCTGTACCAGATCAAGACCGGAATTCAAACTGGTACCCCAGAAAGAGCAGCAATCTTCCAACGATAGCTTATAGCAATATGGTCTATCTGTATCCACCATTGGTTCGATATCAACCGACTACATGTCAGAGAGTGTCTCTCCTTATACTTAAAGTTAATGCTGGTCAGAAACAAGTGATTGACGGAACAAAATCGCAACAGACGACCATCGCTGTCGGTTCGTTAGCCACAGATTCCGTAAATGCCCCTAAGATGCCTTTCCGATTGGTTCGGTTCAGCGTCGCTACTTGAGCGTTAAAGTCACCTGTCATTATGACTACATCTGAACGTTTTGCAAAACTGACAGCTTCTCATAGAATTCATTTTTTCACTATCCGAATTGCAGTTGGTTGATGCATAGGTGGAAATTACGTATACACGTCCGTTGATGTCTCGATCCTACTTAGTCCTTACAGATTCATTAAGCCGGAGAGCACATAGACGGCTGTTAAATGGTATCCAGTCGAGAAGCATACTTTTTGCCCTACAGCTTAATGTTATGCCTACACCAGCAGGTCCACGAAAGCTAGCCATTGGGGTCTCCGGATATTTGTAATTTGGATTTTGAAGATTGACTAATTTGGTCAAGTGAGGTCAATTTAATAACCACACTTGGGTCCTGTGTACGTGTTTCAGTGACAAAGCATACACACATGGCTAGATTTCAGAGTTTTGGCGAGAGATGCTTGCTGCCCAGTTTGACGTAGAGCTCGGACGTTGAAAGCTCCTTCATGGAATCGATGGCTATGATCCTTCTCGGTAGTTAGAGTGAGAGTTTAGGTAAGACGTAAGAGGTTCACTATCAGGAGGTGAAGGCAAAGGAGGAGGACAAGCTTTGGTTGATTGTGTAACACTGAAATCATGTGGACGTTTGACACTTCCCGGCTGTCCACACCGTGGAAGGCTATTTCGCCTTAGGGTACTTGACACAGAGGAAGATTTGTGACCACAAAGCTCATGTGACATCTGCCTGAGGTCTGTCACGTACTGCCCTTTGCAAACTGTTGTTTTGAGCTATGGTCGTTCTAACACCGGCTGCAGGAAATACATACCGCCGACATTATGAAGCAGGGAGAAGTGTGCTACTTTTGAGATCAACCTTCTTAACCCCTCTGTTCCGTTGAGAAGACGATATCAGCGTGGCACTACTGGTCATCCAAGGAAAACACCTTGCTGCTGTCACACTCCATCCAGCTAATAGCAGTACGACTTCACCCTGGGACCCTCATGATATTGTAGTGATTTACACTACTAAGTTGACTGCTTTTCGTCTTACCATTATCCAGAAGACCTTCCTGGGATGGCAGGACCTCGAGGGAACAAGGGTTCCAACCAGTGTAGTTCGCTGGGTCATTGCGATATACAAGCCTAACTATCACGTCAAGGCAGCAGTTATCGGCCCGGTTGGCCATTTCTAGTCTAAATCCACTTCCTTTAATATTGTGTGACAGGGTAGACAGTGGCTAGATATCCATAGTACATATCGCAGCCATCGGAGTCGACAGGATTAACAATCTAATCGACTGACCTCCCTCTTCTCCCTAAGATTCTACACCTGACTTTCACGTTATCTAAGTGGTAGCACTATGATACGGCCTGTGTTACGAAGGCAACACCAGTATCCTCCTCATGTCCTCTACATTTAACAGTCATGTTTCACATCCCTGTAGGGAACAACAGAGCAGTACACTCGGACATTGATAGGCAATCGGATATTTCCCCGGTGCAATATGTGGCAGAATTTAGTAAAAGGCCAAGCGAGCCATTTGCATTCTTGGTGGGAATTCGTTTCTCATGGTCATTGACCCAAATGGGCAGATATGGCTTACCAGGCAAGAGAGGCGGTCAACGTCATGAATGAGGTGCCACGTGAAACCAAATTTCTATTCCGATGCCACCATTTCGTTCCAACCAAAATGACTACTTACAACAACTAATAACTAAAAACGTGTTTCATATTCCGTAGATCAATGTTTCCATTGGAATCTGCCCGCAAACAACGCTGGATCATATAACATCGAAACCAGTATCTTCTTAGCCTATCATACTATCTGTCTTATACTTAACCATCACTGTGAAAGTCTTACCTTCGATAATACAGTCAACTGCATAAAATAGGTTTATTCATTCAGCCAATAATCTTGGTATCTGTCTATACATGATTGAAGTAAGCATGCGCGTTTACATGTAAATTATAAATACAAACACTTTCATTGGTAAAAAAAAAATAAAAGACGAATGAATCTTCATTTTGAATTCCAAATCAATGTAACTGATGTACATGTGGATACGTATAGTGTAACCACAAAACCTCATTCGTGTGGTGAGTAACGCAAAGACAAATTAGACACTACAATAATTCAAAATGAAACTGACTGATAGCAGGAAAAGCAGAAAAGATATAAGACCAATTAAAAATTACACAATACAATGGAAAACACAAGCGGTTTTCTTAAGAAAGTAGGTTTCTTCAGACGCTCATCTGTTGTGCATCGATCGCTGCTTTGAAAAATCGCATTAAGCATTTAACCATTGACCGTTAAGCTTTTAGGCGTTGCAACAGCACTATACAAGGCTGATATTTCTTTTATATCAGGTGCTTGTCCCATAGCATATAACAGTTGATAAAGTAAACTTTGAATCCACATACACACGGCTTCATATCTGCAACATAAAGGGGAAGAATGTAGTATAAACTCCCAATTACGTATAACGATCAATTTGTTATACACGCTTATATCATCACGTATGCAATAATAGTAGAACCAAAATTGGCAGACTCACTTGTCAGTGCACAATAAACATGACCATTGTGGAGCAGTGCATTGGATACGATTCAATTTCTGGAATCCAGTAGGAGAAAGTCAGGAATCCAGGCTGTTCGTTTATTATGGCTTACCAGCAAGACGGTGATGCACTTTAAATCCAATAAGAACTAAATTTGCTTCAAGATTTGAATCCACAAAGTTCGGTGGTACGGTGTAAAAGCTTCCCTGGAACAATTTACTTGAGCACTTTGTAATTATGCGTTGTGAGCTATGTAGAAACTGAGGCATGTTCATTTCTTTTAATGGACAACAAAAACAGTGAACACTGTCTGGACCATGACAAAGACTAGCTCAATGTATTTAAAGCCTAGCCCACCACCACAACACCAGATACTCTCACAACTCTTAAACTATTTAACTCATCAGCAAATACAATTCTCAGAGACTTTCATCCACGTCAATAACCTACTTCTAATCTACCGACTAAATATATATAACAATAAACGCTTCGTATAATACATTTTTACACTACGTTTCAATATGAAAACCCAAAACAGTAAAACGATATAATACACGTTTATTTAAATGAAAATTTACAATCGTCAGAAAAAATTACTAGTATGTTCATAGAAAAATTGAGAAGACAGTCTCCGAATGCATCGCGTTTAACGACACACCCGCTCACATAGATGAAAATAACAAACATCTATTTTTACACATGATGCCACAAGTGGAATGAATATCACTACATACAAATAAAATATTCGGGAGTAACAATAAAAAGCAAGTGCATGGAATAACAAAACAAAAGTGGTCACCAAAAAACAATCACAAACGCAAGTAAGTGCAAACACAAACTTACCTCAATGTATACACTGTACATTATAGTCACATATACTACGTATACTAAAAAGAGATCACCGAATGCCCTAACAAGAATTGGCTGCAATGACGACAGCATGCAGCAATCACTTTCATCGATTGGCACTGTTGTCTGGTGAATAGATACTCTCTGACACCACGCATTTGCGACCAGTACGCACTCTACCACAAGAGATGAATCGTCGTCCCCAAAACTCATGTATGTAACATTCAGAGGCAGTTGTAGAATGCCTTCTGTCGTAAGCATTTCCAAATTACAGCTACATAGCTTCCACCGTCATCTCACAGCATAATACGATTTCACTCTCAGTCTTCGTGTTTAGCGAGAGTTCTCAACTCGTCATTTGCTGAGATTTCTTCGGCACCCATTCGTTCCTTTATCGATCGAATTACTGTTTTAGTGGTATGGTAGAGTCGCGTTTTTCATAGCGCACCACTGTTCCACTGTGTTGACCTTATATATATATATATATATATATATATATATATATATATATATATATATATATATATATATATATATATATATATATATATATATATATATAATTTACGTCAATTCACCTGTATCCTCTGATCTCGACAAGTAATCTACTACTACTACTTTCTTCATCTCGAGGATGAGATCAGTCGAAAAACCATACTCCAGTGGACCCAAATTACATAGTGCTGGTTTCTCACAGAGGCCTCGTGTTGTCTGCAACCACCGTATGCCCGGCTGCCTGTGGTTCGTCTCAATAAGAAACTGCTGTCCGAGATACGGCCTCCATTTTTCTAAGACCCAGGCGATCAATACACATTCTTCCTGACTATTGATTACTTCTGTTCTGCAAGTGTCAATACACAGCTAACATACTGAAAAGCTACTTCGATTCGTCGTAGGAAAGCATCCATTCCATAAATCACTAGTATCTGTGGAAGCTGTGAACGGCTTCCAGGGTCGCGTACTGGCAATCTTAATATTGTCATCCACTGGTCATTTTTGAGCTTCTGAATTCTATCGAATGTCTCTTGTGGCTCCTAAGTCCACATACACTTCGACTTTCCTAGCAGTTTATGCAATCGAGCCTCTATCATCTCACTGAAATTCTCAAAGAACCGACTGTAGAAGGCTGGTCTTCCTAAGAGCTGTCTCAGTTTCCTTACCGAGTTTTGAGTCGCAATGCTCTTGATGATTAAAATCTTTTCAGGTAGTGATTATCTCCCGGAAACAAGGCATTCTTCTGAGCAATCTGCGACTTCGCCTTGGTAACATGTTGTCCGATCTCTTCAATGCGTTCGAGAAAACGGCTTCTAAATTTCCCAGATGGAGTCAATTTCTGTCCTAGAACTGAGTGACGTTTGGTTAGTGTACTAATGACATCCTTTTCCTCAGAAATCCATTGGAAACCGGTACCAACATGTGTGGCTCATTGTTTGGAAACCGTCGCAATTCTCCACCAACATGCAAAGACGATAACCGGGCATTTACCAACAGGTTGTTTCAGGTAACATTTTACCGAAGATGGTTTTGAAGGACCACAATTCATGTTTCGAGATTGAAGATTTGATCCCTGGCTTACGGCAACTGGATATAAAGAGAATAACGATGGCCCCTTACTGTAAAACAATGGTTGGCTGCGAAAGCAGGAGACTGGGAAGCAGAACTACTATTGAATTTATTGGCAAATCGAGAATCCGTTCCAGGAACAACGAAGAAGTAGTCGTTACAGCTAACGTATGGCGGGAGATTGTCAGTGTCGAGTGAAACCTAGCCGCAACCAACGTGGTCAAATTTCATAAAAATTGAAAACGGAACGAAGACAGGCTGTCAAGAATGCCAACGGAAAACAAAAGTAAGATCTGGTGACATTTAAACAGAAACAAAGGATGAAATGGAAACCTCTTGAGATAGCAGATCATATGAAGTGGAGGGTTCAATAACGCACCGCTGGAAGCGGGCTAAAATCACGGAAACTGCTTTCAAAATTGAAAGAAAAAGTGGCACCACTTATTCAATCAGCAAACATAATAGCGATAAACGTGTGAACGCCAGTCACTTCAAGAAATGAACGTCAGTGCGGGAAGAAAGGGTAGGACATTGTACAGAAGACAACCATAAGACGATCATCAGGGTGGTGGAAAAAGTCATTTACAGAGGGAACGGATGCAGTAAGAGCTACTTATAAGAACGTGTGTATGTATGGATTGTTATTAGTGTTAGCATTTACTTCTGGAGGAGAAGGCATATGACTGGACCTAATCCAAGTCAACATTCATCTGCTTGCAGTCAGTGAATGGGTCGACAACAAGTATGGAGAACCGCTCATTCACACAGTTTAAGCAATGAGGGGACATCAAAGAATTAACATTTTGGTCGGAAGGGATAATACGCTTAAGTGCCATCTTAATCTTAGGTGCTAATTATCTTGTCTTTGATTGGAAAAGTACTTGACCGACGAATATCATCATACCTTTGCCTCCTAATACGCCTCTTTTCCCAGTGAAAAGATTACGTATCAAAGAAACAACTCCATTCTCCTACAGAAGTCACTCAACTGCAATGTTAAAACACAGAAATACTCACGATGTCATGATTTTTTCCAGCACATTGAAACAATGAGTTATTTTAGTTTACCTGAAGCATATGTGATACTAAATTTAACTTCTTATTGTGAATTTCAACAATTTGAAGGAAATACTGATAGATTATCTGTATGACATTCCAAGTATAGTTTATGCAAGAAGGCTGCACATACTAGGTACATACCAGCACTGCTTACACGTTGTGTATCGCCTGCGCATTCTAGCCCAGTATTTCCGATGGGGATGATATGACATATAACGTTCAACTTATAAAAATGCTAACGAGCACGCACAAAAAGCATACCTTAACTTCCAGTGATACCGTAGAAGTATCATATTCACCTCTAATTTATCACTCCATCTTAAAGGAATCAATTTCCCAGAGTATGAAGTTGTTATTCGACTGCCAAGAACAGCACTGTCAATCATTAAAGAATGACGATCAATAGGATCGCCATGAGAACGACATATAGATCGAATAAGATTCAAGTTTCTGTGATAAAAAGAAACAAAATTATATAGAATGAATCCACTGCTGGAAAGTATAATTTCTAAATTTAACTTCTGTAAGCATTAAATTCATCATCATCACCATCATAATATTTATAATGTTCAGATTAAGTCATCAGGACCAACATAGGACCAGGTATTACCGGCTTAATGGTCCAACTTGCCACGCTTCATATCAGCACATAACTTAACAAGACAATAAAGTGGAAGTTGAAGAAGGAAAGAAAAATCGGTCGAAAGAATTAGAAGTAGAAAGTAGTAAGAGAGAGGAAGGAATTTAGATTAAGTACAAACCACGTTACAGCTTGGTCGAACTGAATGCATCAGCTAGCAACTGACTGATAAGTCTTGAGCGATGATTACTTCGTGACATTATATAACAGGCAGGTAAACGAAGAACCTGAGAAGAAAGGGAATGCATCGGTTCAATTTGCGCCGTCCATAGCTGCATGTAAAAAAAGGTGGACAGAAAACGGAAGACAAAGGTTTATGAGAAGAGAGCATAACAGTTGGCAGATACGACAATAAATCGCCAATTCCAAAGAAACCAGCCCAATATTTGGTAGGCAGACAACAAGTACTTAACACTAATTTATTATATTTTTTAGAGAAGCATTAGAAACCTAGGTGTGACATGTCAGTCCATGATGAATATCATCTTCGAATCACCTTCAAATCCCCATAAACCTTCAAGGCGAATTACAGTCCAGTGCTCACTGGCATGCTCCGAGATAAGATTTTCCGAAAGACTAGTGACAAGCCACGGCTAGTGGGGAAAAGCAAGTCGCAAGTGACGACAATTACTCGAAGGTGGCGTTCGATGAACGTCGCGACATATCGAGAATTGGCAGGAGCAAGAAACTGTGGAATATTGGATTCCGGCATAGTGGCTCGATGGTAAAGTGATCGCCACGAAAACTGAAAGTCCCGAGTTCGACCACCGGCGTCGTCCTGTGTCAGCCCTGATGAAGAGCCTCCTACGGTCGTCACACAAAGACGTCTCTCACTTTCAGAGACTGGAATAGTCAGTCAAGTAGACCAGTTTGATGGGACTACCTCCGGTTCCCATGTGCTAATTAGTACCTCCGTCACTCTCCTCAGTAGTTTTACTTTTCAGGCTAACTCTCTCATCGTCAGATTCTGACGCTTTGCTTTAAAACAGCATTCTCAACTTCGAGGAGAGTTGTGGAACCGAAATCTATGTCCGTATCAGGTGTGGGCTGGATGCTACTCAACTAAAGTGTTTCTGTCAACCAGATAAACTGTACTCCCAAGCATTCCACCCTACTGTCCCAACAGCTTATCACCGTCCCATCCTTCTCAGTGCTCGCCTCACTCATCGTCCTCTTCATCTGCCAGTATCCCTGATAAAGCTAAATAATTACCGAGTATTTACTACTAATTGGAGCATAATCTCTAGTTTCTGCCTCCTAATGTCATGATTGTTTGTTGGTATTGATTTCATTACACAGCTAACACTGGACAGATTACTATTCCACCTGATAAAGAATCAAACCCACTTGATTTGATCTCCATCCTCCCCCACACACTAACTGTTTCTATATTGCAGTCATCTTCCGTCATGCCTTGCATTACATTAACTCTGATATCTCATCTATTCTCACGGATTTATAACTGAAGAGCATGAAGAGTAACTTAGTGAAAACAGTGGTTCGTTCAAATTAGTCTTGTTCTGAATAATCTATGAGGACGTGTAAATTATATTACGCAATGCTGGCTGACGTCTTCTGCATCCGTTTCACCTTCGCCAACCACCATTGAGCAACTGACAGTCTACACAATGATCATGAGAAGTCGTCGACAGTGAATGCTGAAGAGGTGAAAAATGCAGTAGCTATTGGTAACAGTAGAGAGTCACTCACATTGATCAAGGGAACTGACTAAGGAAAGAAGTCAATGTTCAGCGAAATTATAGAGGACGGGTCTGGAATTCACACACAGAGGAGACGTCTGGAACAACAGGCACAATGGTTCAGATGATCTCAGGCTACTTATCGATCGCCCGCTATTTAGTCACATCATGAATAGAGGAATAGAACAGGACCTTTAAGTCTTGCAGAAGCTGAAAAGGCAGCAAATAACGTGAAACCAGGAAGGTCAGTGAGGTAGGAAAGTATAGTGTCGAAGGTTACCGTCGTAGTGCAAATTACCACACTATACTGGGGTCCGAGAGCATCTTACTGCTGCTAGCTGGATGGTAGTAAGATGTTTTCCGAAAATGACCAGTGATCCCACGCTGATAGTGCCTTTTCAACAGAACGAAGAATAAGAAAAAGTCGACCCTAAAATAGCACATTCGTCCCTACCCTACGGTCTTCCGATGCCGTCAGTATGCATTCTCTTTATCTAGTGTTAGAACAACCGAACCTCAAAGCAACAACCCCCAATGGCTCTGTGGCAGGTCTCAAGATGTTTCATGGGCTCTCCGACCACACAAGTCTTTTTTCCTTCCAAGTATCTCAAGAAGATCTAGCCTTCAAAAGCGTGGGCAGCCAGGAAGTGTCAATCGCCCTCACAATTCTATCAGCGCTCAAGTTTCTTCAGACCACTATTCTCCTTACTTTTTAATCTTCCTTCATGTCTCTCATTTATCAAACCTACATCATCTTTCATTTCTTCTAGCTCTGTAGCCTTCGACAACGATCTGAGTCCACAGAACAGCATCCCTGGTCTCCTTAAACCACCATCCAAATTACACATTGGAACCTTCAATGTCCGCACCCTCAATCAAATTGGTCAAAACTCTGGCAACTTGGTTATTTACTTAACCCCTTCTGGCCAACATGGTGAATTTGCAAAATTCACCCTTCGAGTTTCTGGAGATTCGATGACTAGTTCATGAGGTCATGCAGGTGTAGACATAGCATTAAGTACTAGGGCAGAAAACTCACTACCAAAATAGATCCCGGCTGACAGTAGCTCATGTGCTGGCCGGCACAACGACACGGTTAGAACTAAAAGGAATGGAGGGACTCACTGCTGTCTCTTCGTAATCTATACTTACGCACCCACAGACAGTAGTTCGGATGAAGTGAAGGATGGGCACTACAGAAAACCGTCTAGCCTTCTTCTGAAAACCAAGTGCTCAGACGTGGTTTTTGCTGCAGGTGATTTCAATGTACAGGTGAGTAGGCTTAGTCAGGCAGAAAGGCAATTAGACGACACTTTCGGAATCTCGATTGCATGAACCAATAACGGTGATCAGACAGCCACTTACTTCTAGCCACCACAAACTTCAGACATAAATGGAGACATCGTCTAACGTGGTGTCCAATGAGCCTAACTCAGTGGTATACACAGACTGACCACATTGCTATCAGTCACTAGTAGAGAGAATCGGTGGAAAACTGCAGCTCCTTTTGAAGCACGTCGTTGGACAGCGTCCAAGCATAGGTTCCAACGTATGTCTGCGTCTCAGTGAAAAAATTTGCAGCAGCTCGAAAATGAGAGCTTTAAGGAAGCTTTTGGTGAGTAACTAGCTTGACGACAGCTATAGAAATGGAACAATGTCACTCATTCAGAAAGAGCTTCGCAGTATCTGTAGTCAGATGTAAAAACAGCGTTGAAGACCCCAGATGATTCTCAAAGAGTGGTTGAAAAGAGACAGTGGATATCAGCAGCTTTTTCTGAATTCATGGCTGCACGTAAACGCACTCCTCCAGGTTCCAAGTACAATGAAGAGCAAATGAAACTCAGACGTAGACACAATGACCAAGAACAGTGGTGGCCAGCGGAGGTTAGAGAGATGAAAAAAGTAGCAACGATAGGCAACAGGAGACAGTTATTTAGACTTTTCGAGGAAACAGAAAGGTTGGTGAGACATCAGAGAAGGATGCGTCTGCAATTCACTTGCAGAGGAGACGACTGGGACGATGGCCAGAACACTTCGAGGAACAGTTCAACTGATTCTCAGTTACTATCCTGTTCCTTATCATACAGTCGGAGCCTGAACGGAACATTGAGATTGAACCTTCAACACTTGCAGAAGTCGAGAAAGCTGTCGGAGACCTGAAATGAGGAAGAGCAGCAGGTCTACACAGACTAGTTTTAGAGACATTTACGGATGGTGAAGGATTGTTAGTCACGTTGACCAAAGTGTTAACTAGCGCATATGGAGTTAGATACTATTCTCCACGAGTAGACTCGGCCACTGATTGTCTAAATCTTCAAGAAAGTCGAGAAGTCCTCTTGTGATCATCACAAACTAATCAGTCTAACGAACGTAGTGTCTAGGATTCCAGATTATATAATCGTTAGATGCCTAAGTGGAGCTGAAGAACAGCAAGCCCGAAGAAACCAGTCGGCTTTAGACCCGGCCGTGGGTGTACCAACCAAATATCCACACCGCTCCAGGTTCCAGAACACAGGCACGCTTACAGACGCCCGACAACAGCTGTATTTCTCGACCTGAATGCGACATTCGACTCTGTTGACTGAGAAGTCTTATGGTAATGTCTCTCACTGAAAGGCGTGCCGAGCAAGTACAACACTTTACTGGAACACTTGTGGGCGTGTTACAGCCTATGGTGAGATGTCTGGAGTGCTGTGTACGTCGAGTGGTGTCCGTCAAGGGTGCCCACTGTCTCCATTCTTATTCAATTTTATCATAGATATTCTTATGGTCTCTCTCTCGTCACCTGACTACACAGAAGTTGACCTGATCACATGTAAATTTTCGTTAGACCTAGAATATGCAGATGACATAATCCTGTTAGGTGAAGATGCTGACAAGATGAAGAGTCTTTTGGATACTTTGAGTGGGAATTTGAGAATGTATGGGATTCGTTTTTCACCACCCAAGTGCAAATTGTTGCTCCAGGATTGGTCTTCAACAGTGCCTCGGCTAATAATAGAGAGTGTAGTGGTTGAGTGTGTTGACCACTTCACTTACCTAGGAAGTGGTGGCTTAGTGGCCGACGAAATCTCTGCATGGATCGGTTGGCTTTTGTCAACTTATGTCACCTGTGGCGCAAATGTATACATACATTATCTTCATCTTAACCGCTGCACTTAACCTAATCATTCATTCCTCCTTCCCCTCTTTTACTGCTTTCTACTTCTTTTAACCGAGTTTTCTTTCTTCATCTTCCGTTTCATTGCCTTATAGCTCGACGTGTTGTAATGAGGTGTGGGAACTTGGACCGTTAAGTCGTAATGCCTGGTTCTAGGCTGATTTTGACGATGATGATGAAGGTTAGTGGTTGGATTAGCTAGCGAATGGGAATCCGATAAGATTCCGTCTGACCAGACTCAACTGCTAATTGTCTCAATCTGTAGCAATGGAGACAAATCCACCTGTGATAAATACAGGAGAATCAGTCTGACGAAAATAGTGTCTAACACCCCACGTTCTTTAGTCATCAGGTGCCTAAGTGAAACGCAAAAGCAATTAACTTGAGGGATTCAGACAGCTTTCAGACCCAGTCGTGGGTGCACTGGTCGGATCTTCTATTTCCTTCAAAACATATAACATAGACACTCACCAGCCTCCGACACTCGCTGTATTCGCTAACCTGAAGCTGACATTTTACTTCTTTGGTCGAGGTCTCATAACAATGTCTCACGCAAACGGGTGTCTGCTAAATACAACAACCCTGCTAATGGTTGAGTTACACTAATTTATTACACTAAAGGTAACTGAACTGAAACTATTTATTGGTAAATGAAGTGTCACACTGAGGGTCAGAACCATGTAGAGGAATGTAGATATTCCTGATTTCCGTGTCAATGATGAAATAAGTGGTTGCAGCGGTAAGGCAAAATGGCTCAAAATCATTATTAATGGCGCAAATCCACCCACATGTTTTCATTTCGTATAGACTTCAGGATCAAAATTTGGCCTGATGGGGTTGAATAATTTGAGCATGAGGTAAATGGATTATACATGGAATTTATTTTTAAAATCTTGATGATGCAGAGAAGTCAATTTCCGAGTTCAACTGAACTCACGGATTAAGAACTTATAACGATAACACTTATGCCCATATTCATTGTCTCACTGGGGTTCTCTACACATATATTTCCTTCATTATCTGCAGGCAATAACTAGATCACATCTCACAATTATTTTACCTTGCTCCCATACTTTACATGACTCTCGACAAATTTTCAACACATTTCACCTCTCTCCTATATTTTTTTCGTTCATCTCGCTGCCTTGCGCTTCGATGTAGTGCAAATTGCGCCAAACTTTCAAATACGCAATACTTACTTTACACCAGGGAACGAGTCACCGAATCTCCGGACACTCGTAGAGTCAGCTTTGCACAGCACAGGTGAGGTCAAGTTAATAGCAACACTGGTCCTACCTGCATGCGTGTCTCACAAAAACAGTATATAATCACTGTTTTAGTTACCAGGGTCTTGGCAAATGAGGCATGTTGTCCGACTAAGAAGGCTAGACCCGGAGGTGAAAAGAGGACCTACTCGCTGTCTGTTTGCTGCTTTACGACATAGATTCCAAATTTTGTACTTCGAAATCAAGTCTAAGTAATATTCAGTGTCATGAAACTTCCATCCTTCAGATTCTCCAACTCTAATTCTTAAATCCTTCTACAATTGTCCATGCAAATAATTTAGAGGTAATATGGAACCAATTGAAAGCTTAGAGTTATTTTTTCCCTATCGCAGTTCAAGTGCGTCATATTTATATGGTCATATAGATGAATGCCGTTATCCTACTTACTTTCAGCAGAAGAAATCAGTTGAAAACAGATAAACTACTAAGCATCGTTAGAAACCATGCTTCCTGCAATTTCCTTTCTTTAGTGCATGAAAAGTAGTAAGAAACGATCGTTCTCTTATTGGGGCCCCTAACGTCATTTGATGGTCACTAAAGGACGGCAAAATTCTATAGTTTTACTAATATGCAACGGACTATAATGGCATGGTAAGGCCTAGAGAAAATGACGTTTTAAACAGCGTAGCTCCCTGGATAATTCCACCACATCAAGTTAGCAACTGTCGGTCGCAGAATAGTGAGAGTCAACTTGGCACATGTGTAATCTACTTGTCTATGAGCCACACGTTATGTGAAGGATAATAATACTTCGCAGTTACCTCGGTCAAAATAGATCAGCCAGTTACGTTGAGGTCAGGATATGTCCTGATGATGTCAGGCAGCCGCCACTTATCACACACATGGTATACAGTCTGTTAGCTTTTGTCTCCTCATTCCCTATATGATAAACTTGTTGGTAAGTAACATTGTAAAACCGACAACAATAGTAGGTCAACCTACATACTTAAGAAAAAGCAAGCACTTTGTCTCCTACACCAAATGTGTGGGAATAAAATATCTTGGTGTTTCGTTCTAATATAATCGATCAATTACCTGATAAACAGAAGCATTGGACGTGGCATTTGCTCAAGAACAGACATAACTCTATCAAAGTGCTCCATCGCTGTTGCCCGTAAATAGGCTCTATCTGCCTCAGATAGCTGAGATGGCAATTTCAGTGTTCGGCGACGCCAGGGTCTCTGGAGGATAACCTCACCAAAAGTAGCCCAATCTAAAAAGCATTGAGATGAGAGAATTAGCTTCACAAGTGATGATGACACACATTCAGATGAAATAGAAGTACCCGGTTCCTTTCGTTCTTTGTTAGATGTAAGAAGCCGCTCTATCAAACCTCTTCAAACCACGGTTTCCAATTGAAATTTTCAACGAATACATTTTTTTCACTGATATCACCTTCCTGTTAGATCTAAAACGGTGATTACAAGCTAAGCCCAAATCAAAGCGATGCGCGAACCCAAAAATTTAGTAAAAAATTACTGAGGTTTATTATCTAAAGCCTGTTCAGACGAATACAAAGAGAAATCCATAACATACTGAATGCCTACCTCGAATACAGCTCTCTAGAAAGCGAATCTCATTCTCTGCTAAAGCTAGATTGACGGAGTAAAGCAATGACTGATGCAGAGTGAACTGAATAGTTTCCTGTATTACTATATCGGACTTGCCTTGACAAAGAATGAACACTGTACTGGAGCATGATATCACTGAAAATAAGTTTTTTTGCTGAAGTATTTTCTTGTCTCAAAACCTTCGAGAAATCCAGAGTGACTGTGAAGACGGATTATGACTGGTGAGATTGGATGCAGACCACTAAATTCTAACCCAGTGACTGAATGGTAACTTGGTTCCCACGAGACCTGAGTTGTGAGTTAACTCTAGCATGATGTCGTGAGTGTACACTTCTGAGAAGTCCCAAATTACGACAAAACAGCAATCTAGTGCTCTTTATTTTTTATTGGTTTGGTTGATGCTATGTGATGGGAACCAATTTGAATCAACCGACTACCCACAAACTAATTTAACGTAACATCATTACTCGTATTCTTCCAGCTTTTCTTGTCGACTTTGCCTTGCTGGGTTAATCTTTGGCAACTCGGAAAAATATGTCATTTTGTAAGGCTTCACGGCGTTTCTGTGTATGTGGTGACTGCAAAAACAAACGTCTAGCAACTGAAAGAACCAATGAACTTCACGAAGACATGATCACTTATTGTGTAGAATGGTCTCGCATAAGATACATTATAGTCACACGTTGTAAAATAATCTATGCAAATAGAAGTGCATCATTTTAAACTGCCATATTTTACAACGACACAGACATGAATTGGATAGAAAAGGATGGAAGTTACATGAAAGGACAGATGATAAATAAATGAACCTTATTAACAATGTTCAAAATTTCGATGAGAACAAGAAGAAAAACCTAAACCTTTTTGACCAGCTTTGAGTCAGGTCGTCAAGGGCCCTCAACTATTGATTCCTATCACCTTGAAGAAACCAATCAAGTGACTTGAACAAGCCAAACAAGAAGTCAGAAAATTCACGGTTTGGTGCCACACCTTGTGCTGACCACTCACAGTTTTTGCCTGAGTTAGTTCTCTACCTCAGACAGCAAGGTGGGTCAAGGTAGGCGGTGGCTCAGCATGTACAACAATATCCAAGCCACCTTAGTCGCGTAATGTCCACAACTTCACCAACTCATTTGCCTTGGTTCCTCAGTGTCCTACGCCTATGCTTGACACTGAGCACACCGTGATTCCATAGTATGTGAGCAATGCTACAAAGATACCTTAGACCAAATGCCTGTAAGCTCTTCATATCTCATACTTCTGACGTCCAGTTCTCACAGCTGCACAGCACAGCAAAACGCAGGGCAATACACTCATCCTTCAGAAAGTAAGTAGATGTCAGAGATGGCGTAAGTTAGTAAATAACGAAAGGGTTTTCTGTGCCTGATCTGAGATTGTGTCAGCAGCCCACCCACTCAAGTTCGTGCAACTCCCCAACGAAGTGAGGTGGTCAATGCATCCGATCTGTTCATTTTCTAGCCTTAAATTAAGAGTCGGTAAAGACCAATCTGGAAGCATTATCTGACATCTACCAAATATACTGAGATTTTCGCTCAAGGTATTCAGAAGATTGCATTTTGTCAGCATCCTTACCTAGCAGGACCATATCATCTGCATACTCCAATTTAACCAGGTGCCCTTCAGGTAGGATGTTAATGATGTCAATAACAAGAAGAATCCATGCATAAACTAGTAATGATTAAAAAACGATGAATTATAATTTTACCTTCAACACCTAGGGATGAAGACGCCTCCTTCATAACTGATTCATTCGAATCCAGGATAGCCTGATACATCCTACACAAAGCTTTTCGTTTTGCGCTTGGAAGAGTATCGTAAAGGCCATGGTCTAACAAAACTAGTTGCATTTCGCTTGATCTTCGGTTTGAAACTGGACGGCTGAATAGTTTATGCTCAGGATTTGTTAACTTTCTCACAATAGTTACAGGTAGACATAAGAAGAATCCAAGCAATACGAATGTATCAAATAAGAAGTTGGGAATAGATTGGATGGACAATTTGATTCTTTGAGAGGTACTCAGCGGTATCTGAGGTTTTTTTCGTACTAGTAAGTTCCCTGGATGAGGATCAGCATGTACAAAACCAGTACAGAACACTTGATGACTAAATGCACGTACTAATAAACGGTCCAATTCAGCAAGCGAGAAACCAGCATCGCGCAGAGCAGATACCTGAGTAAAAAGATATTTCAAAAATACTCCATCTTATTTGAACGGAATAACAAAAGAACACTAAGGTGCAGGTATGGCTCATTGGGCATTCAGGTAGTACCACTAACCATAACACAAAATGTGTGGTTCCCTATTTAGTGTATGAGAATATCCACGATTGCTCACTTACCACCGTACGTCATATTCCAACGACTGAAATTTGCTAATCTGAAACTATCTTCAGTTGAGTACAATAGTGCGGTAGTTCATTTTATTGAATTGCAGCTGCCAACTGAACTTCAATTTCATAACATTTATCTATCATACGACTCAACTCGTTAAAGTTATTGTACTAGACATGCTATGAACCACACTTGTTTGAAAGCATATTACACTGCTCGGTTGGTCACCCAACTCAAAGTACGTGGATTCCAACCGAAGACCCACTCCCTTGAGAGTCAAAACATTATCTAATTTCTTCTATCCACCCGTCACCTTTCTGAAACAAACCAGTCAGTGGTTAATAAAAAGATCACCTATCGCATTAATTAACATGAAGTGATACAAGTGATATATGATAGTTGCACAACAGTGATGCTCGATGGCAATGACTTTTGGAATGGCTGTTTCTTTAGTTACAGACATTAAGCTTTTACACAGCTTCAGGTTGATTTCATCAGTTCGCCTCTTAGTATTTCTCATCGGTGAATAATTACAAAAGAATGTGGGATTTTCGTGAGATTATTTTCAAGTTTCGGTAATCAGCTATCAACAGAGTCAATACAATTGAGTGTGCCGCTTCAAGAGATGCCAGTTAAGAGAAATATGGTTTCGTCTGAGACTCAAAAACATTTTAGGATATTCGTGTTTCACTAGGCATTACTTCCACAAGTACACTATCGCATTCACTTTCGCAAGCTGACGGAAAACCCAGAAACCTGCTTCATCGTCGCGTGCTGTTTGCTATATCAGTGTCCTCAGTTCGTATTTTCCTGATCCTCCAGGAAAAAGAATGCATAAAATTTCTCTCCCTACGTAGAGGGACCGAACTTTGAAAGTTGGTAAACTGTCCGTTTTATGTAGGCTTTCTGTAAATCGATCTACGAAGTGGATTATCATCTTTTCTTTGGAGTTGGACATCAAGAAAATGGAACGTTAAGTCTGATTCTGATTCCAGAGGGAATTTTATTGAGATAGGTGCTGGTTAAAATTATGAAGTAGGTTTGCAAGATTCATATTTTCATCATTAACTATGAAGGTATCACTAATGTATCTTTAGTGGACATGAAGTTCATTGATTGTTGTTAATTAGTTAGTGCATTCCAGGCTTGTCATAAAGCAGTCAGCTAGGAGAGGTCATAGCAGAGAACCCATTGCTCCACCTGCCTGTAGGTTTCATTAATCAGTCTGAAGTACACATTGAAGGTAAATCGAAGAAGCTCTTTTAAGTAGTGATTTGGAATACTATCATCTTTGTTATGGCATTGAACGAGGTTACATAAGAAGCAAACGGTTTCTGTCAGTTGGGTATTTGTGAAGAGAGGCACGATACCCAATGAGACCATGTGTAAAGTTCACATTCTCAACTTATTTTGTTGATTCAATTAGGAATGTCAATTCGACGCGACTGTACAGCTTAGTAAATGACTTCGTCGAAAAGATGTTTCTTCGCTCCAACCGAGTTTTCACTAAGGAATGGATGCAAGAAGTGGGGGCAATCACTTGAAGTAAGGATGTCACATTATAGGTCCGAGAAGAAACTGGCAAAATCGGAAATAATGAAACAGGAAGGGAAGAACAAATAGAAGACGAAACTTCATGTGAAAACCAGCACTTTGGTTATGGTATTTTCTTACGTAGAATAGATTTTTGTCGAGATTCAGGGTACCTATTGATTACCATATCCAAAACAACATGGAAAGAATTCTATCGGTACACAGGAAATCTGCAAACTTCTTTAGACTGCCTACTCAGAGTCACAGATAGGATGTTTGAACATAGTGTTATTTTTTCTCTCTCCTCAGGTTATCTAGGATAAAATTGACGGTTCATGTGCTGGTAAATACATACCCCAGTGAAAAAACCATATTCTATTCCTTCCTTTCTGTTGAATCTTCGTACTATCAAGTAGTGTGTACAGCACTAACATCACATGCATAGAGTTCTTGATGGTTTTCGAGGACTTTTGAGGTATGGACATCTCACCTCAACTAATGCTGGGTACTGAGCTGGGAAGTATCCGCATAACATGATTGATGTTAAATACTTGTCCACCGTCATATAAATGTCGTAGATTACCACTAACTTTTTTACATGGGAAGTAACTTATCATTAGATTAAGATTGGAAAACCACTTTTCTAGCTGCCTGAAAGTAAATTAATGAAATCGATTCTCACCAGCAAGCGATCATGGCTGATTACTTAGGTTCCACATATTTTTGTTTGAACTACCCGCCTTCTACTTCACGAAGTTTACGATTGGAGACGGATATGATTTCTATATTTATTTTGCTGACTGGTATCATAACCTCGAAACTCAATCTGGCAGATATTTGCAAGTTAGTTGTGAGTGATACCAATATAAACTGTAAAATGTCCCAGTGTTCTTAACAAGTTACCATGGCAATCGTCAGCAACTGTTGTTACAACTTGACACGAAGTCAATTCAAATAAATATTAAGGAAAATGTCCTGATTTTATATCACAAGGGATATGTCATACAGACTATTTTCAAAAGTGGCATCTTCTGAAACCCAAGTTTGATATTCATCAGTTCGGACACAACAGATTGGGTTTACAACGTATTACACGAACCTGTGTGCGGTTACTGATTTACTCTTTCACAAAATCTTTCAGTCTTCCTGCAAGTAAGAGTGCTTAGACTGAAACAAGGAGGCATTTTATCTCATTGAACTCACTTGATTGACTTTTATACCATCAATGAATTCAGCTGTAAGAACACGCTTGCTAGTAAGTTCACGATCAACCCAAGGAACATGAACTGAGCCATTTTTTTCAAGGGTCCCCAAACTTGATAGGTCAACAGCGCAGTGAGCAGCATTATCTGCCTCGTTTTCAAAGTCCAGTTCCTTGGCTAGTGTTTCCTAAAGAGAAGGAAAAACCACATAAAGAAGATATGTACATATTCTCCAATTAACGGTATACCGACAGTTAAAAATAAGTCATTTTTAAGGAATCGTAACCATTCTAGCATAAAAATCCAACAAAAATAATTTGAGAACCCTCATGTAATCAAGAAAATATCACAAACTAACAACTGATTAGCCGTACACGAAATGATATCAACGAAAGGAGGATGGCATGTAGCACTTTAAATATTTGCCTACTGTCTATGGAAACAATACTTCTAAGTGCAAATCACTTAAAATGTAGATTCTCCTGAAAATCTTGAGACTAGTTGGAAAACCAGTGTTTCAATCTGACCAAAGTGAGTTGGATTCGCATTGACGCATATTTCAAATATCACTTTGACTTCTTGTGCCCCTTGGTGTAGCGGAATTTCCACTGGTAGTTCCAACTCATGATCAAATGCAACTAAGAAGGGGAAATCGAGCTGACGCATGTGAAGAACCGTATACCAATAGAGGTTGGGAAAGAAAACCGGTCTTATGTCAGATAAGCAATGAATGAGAACTTTGAGGATCCTGTTAATGTGCTCTACAGAACTATTTCCTTCCAAAAGATGTACTTCTACAACAGTCACTGTAGCTTCCGTTTTCCACTTACCCGTTCGGTCAATGTCACATTTTGACTTGCAGTGAGGAGTAGAAAAGGTTTAGATGGTTCCATAAAGAATAAGACCAATAACCAGGTAGGGATGACCTCACTAAAAACGTATACAATGTTGTGAACTATATACTCTTTAGTTCCCGGATGCACACAAATCGTCCACCAGTGGATAATCGATACAGCTGTCTAGTTTTCTCTAGTTAAAATTCATCGGAGTTCATCCAAAAGATGGAACAGATATGAACTACTGAGACAGTGCTAGTCTAACATGGTTGCTGTTGCATTCACCCAATTTATCCAAATCAACATAGGACCCGGCATTACTGCTTAATGGTCCGAGTCAGCGTAGCTCATATCAGTACATCAAGTAAAAAAGCAGTGAAGTGAAAGATGAATAAAAGAAAATTCAGTCAAAAATATGAAGTACGAAAAGAGAGAAAGAAAAAATGTGAAAATGGTGAGATTCTGTATACCGTTAAAATGAGGATAATGTGTGTATACATCTGTGCCACTGACATCGGTTCTGAGCCATGTGATCACCTACAGTCTCCAACCACTGGTTCCTCTTGTCCCGTGGACCCCAACCACCTAGTCTGCATTGCTCCATATGGCTCAAACCAACAGTCAGAGACTTCATACATTGGTGCCATGTTTTAGTCTGGCCACCTCGAGCCTTTTTCCACCCTGGGCCTACTTTAGCCAACATTGTATGACGAGGCAGAGAGTAGCTGGGCATACGTAGTACGTGCCCCAACTATCTCAATCGATGAAAGTTCATAACCTCGTCAACTGATTTACCTCTACTCCCTAAAACTCTATACCTGACTTCTGCATTACTCAAGTGTTGACACCATGGAACACGGCCTATGCTGCGAAGGCAACGGTGGCCAAACACCTGAAGCCTTCTCATGTCCTCCACCTTCAATGGCCATGTTTCACAGCCATACAGTAAAACAGACCGGATTGCTGTGCAGGTGCAGTACACGCGACCCTTAATAGACAATCGGAAATCACGGCGGCGCCACAGGTGGCGTAAGTTGGCAAAAGCCAGTCGAGCCTTTTGCATCCGTGAAGAGATTTCATCAGCCACTGAGCCAGCCACTAGGGTTGATCCCACTTCCCAGGTAAGTGAAGTGGTCAACACACTCAACCACTACACTCTCTATTATTAGCCGAGGCACTGTTGAAGACCAATCCTGGAGCAACAATTTGCACTTGGGTGGTGAAAAACGAATCCCATACATTCTCAAATTCCCACTCAAAGTATCCAAAAGACTCTTCATCTTGTCAGCATCTTCACCTAACAGGATTATGTCATCTGCATATTCTAGGTCTAACGAAAATTTACATGTGATCAGGTCAACCTCTGTGTAGTCAGGTGACGAGAGAGAGACCATAAGAATATCTATGATAAAATTGAATAAGAATGGAGACAGTGGGCACCCTTGACGGACACCACTCGACGTACACAGCACTCCAGACATCTCACCATAGGCTGTAACACGCCCACAAGTGTTCCAGTAAAGTGTTGTACTTGCTCGGCACGCCTTTCAGTGAGAGACATTGCCATAAGACTTCTCAGTCAACAGAGTCGAATGTCGCATTCAGGTCGAGAAATACAGCTGTTGTCGGGCGTCTGTAAGCGTGCCTGTGTTCTGGAACCTGGAGCGGTGTGGATATTTGGTTGGTACACCCACGGCCGGGTCTAAAGCCCGACTGGTTTCTTCGGGCTTGCTGTTCTTCAGCTCCACTTAGGCATCTAACGATTATATAATCTGGAATCCTAGACACTACGTTCGTTAGACTGATTAGTTTGTGATGATCACAAGAGGACTTCTCGACTTTCTTGAAGACTGGGATAATCAGTGATTTAGAGTAGCTAGAGGGGATGGTATTTGATTCCCATATACTAGTTAACACTTCCGTTAATATGACTAAGAACACTCTACCACTATCCTTGTATACCTCAGGAGTTAGTTCGTCTGGCCCTGTTGCCCTTCCTCGTTTCAGGTTGCCTACCGCTTTCTCGACTTCCAGTGTTAGGGGGCCTATCTCAATGTTCCATTTAGGATCCGATCGGATAGCGGGAAACGCAGTGATGGCTTGAGGCCAGTTAAACTGTTCCTCGAAGTGTTCTGGCCATCGTCCCAATCGTCTCCTCTGTGAGTGGATCGCAGATGCGTCCTTCTCCCCTATAGCCTCACTAACCGCAGTTAACCTTTTCCCCCCAATCTCCTTAATAAGTCTAAATAACTGTATACTATTATCGATAGCAGCTGCCTTTTCCATCTCTTTAGCCTTCGCTGCCCACCACTGTTCGCGGTCGTTGTACAGAATTTTGTCAGAATCTACTTTTAAGTTGCGCTCGCTCTTCATTGTACTCAGAGCCTGTAGGCAGGATGCATTCACCTACATCCATTAGTTCGGAAGAAGCTGCTGATATCCACTGGCTCCTTTTAGCCACTATTTTGGAGTCGGTTACAGTCTTCAACGCTGCTTTTACAGCAGACTGAAGATGGCACCAAGCTTCCTCTGGATGAGTGATGGTGTTCTGTTCCGACAACTGCCTAGCCAACTTCTCACTGAACACGGCTTCGGTGTTTTCGTTGTCCAGCAGCATTCGTAATGGTTTTGTCGCCAAATTTTTCTTACGTCCATTGAGACGCAGGCATACACGCGCTCGGACCAGCGCGTGGTCGCAGTCCAAACACGTACTCCCGAAGGAGCAGCAGTCTTCCACCGATCCTCTCCAGCGATGACTAATAGCAATGTGGTCTATCTGTGTCCATCGCTGAGTTGATCTCGGTGGACGCCACGTCAGACAGCGTCTTTCTTTGTGTCTGGAATTCGGGTTAGCTAAAAATAGGCGGTTATCTGAGCACAGTTGTAGTAGGCGATCACCGTTATCTGGTCGTTCATCCGGGACTCCAAAAGTGCCACCTAAGTGCCTTTCTGCATCACTCAGTCTATTCACCTGTGCATTGAAATCACCTGCAGCAAAAACCACGTCCGAACGTTTGGCTTTCGAAAGGAGGCTAGACAGTTTACGGTAGAACTCGTCCTTCGCTTCATCCGAACTACAGTCAGTGGGTGCGTAAGCAGAGATTACGAAGAGACAACGGCGAGTTTCACTACTCCTTTTAGTTTCACCGTGCCGTTCAGTCGCATAGCGCAGAAGCGACCAACAACTGGGATCCAGTCTAGTAGTGAGTTTTCTGCCCTAGTACTTAATTCTTTGCCTGCACCCGCAAGACCCCGAGAGCTAGCTATCGAATCTCCAGAAACTTGGAGGGTGAATTTTGCGGACTCACCAGATTGGTCGGGAGAGGTCAGGTGAATAACCGCACTTTGGTCCTGTATGCATGTCTCACAAACACAGCACACATCCATGGACCGAGTTGCTAGAGTTTTGGCCAATGAAGTCTGTTGACCAATTTGACTGGGGGTGCGGACATTGAGGGCCCCGATGTGTAATTTGGAGAGTGGTTTAAGGAGACCGGGGATGCTGTTCTGTGGACTCAGATCGTTGTCGAAGGCTACAGAGCTACGAGAAATTGATGATGTAATATCGTTAGTTGAGAGACGTGAAGGGAGATTAGAAGTTAATGACGAGGGAGGTGGATAGCAGTCTGAGGAAACTTGAGTGCTGATCGAGTTGTGAGGGCGGTTGACACTTTCCGGCTGCCCACACCGTGGAAGGTTATTTCTTCTTAAGGTATCTGAAAGAGATTTGTGTGACCACAGAGCACATCGGATATCTGCTTGAAGCCTGTTACACACAGCCTTTTGAGTATGATTGTTTTGAACTTTTGTATTTTTGGGGCCGGATGGTTGAAAGGAAACGACAAATGAACCAACATCGCTGGCCCGGTAGACCATGTGGCATGGTGGAGTGTGTTATTTTGGGGCCGACTTTTTCTAACTCCCCCCTCCTTCCACTGAGAAGGTGGCATCAGTATGGAACCGCTGGTCATCCAAGGGAAACACCTCACTGCTGTCACACCCCATCCAGCTAGCAACAGTACGACTTCTCCCTCAGACCCCCATCACTGTAGTAATTTACACCCCAACGGTAACTGCTTTTCCTTTAACCCCTATCCAACAGATCGTTGTGGTATGGTAGGACCTCGAGGGAAGAAGTGTTTCACCAGCATGGCTCGTTGGGTCATTGTGATATGCAAGCCCGACCACCACATCAAAGTAGCAGCTATCAGTCGGCTGCTGTTGCACCTAACTGATCACCGCCAAAAAGGCTTGGATCTAGATCCAATGCTTTTCGGCGACTGGATCACAACACCTAACACTAAAATCCCCTATTTCCGTTGTCAGTCGAACCGACCGTGTGGATTACTGATGATTTTAGAAGTCAACTTCTCTATCGATCGACATTTCGTTTAACACCCTACGGGGATGTTATGATAAAGATGAGAAGTTATTGAAAGAAATCGAGAAGACAGATACGAAAGAAAGAATGTTTATTGTTAACAAGCGGCGCGGTAGTCGTTAAATATGGTACACCATGCACTAAAACAGTCATTTGCAAAATGTGCTTCATTTCCTCTTCTGCTTCTCTCTTGATTTGCTCCTCATACGCCTGCATTATCTAGCGTTTCTCTTGGCAGAATCCTTACCCATTGATGGTATTTCCTTATGATTCCTGCCGACCTCTCAACATATAGTACTTATATCTATTCTTATCAGCAGCGCCCACTACAATATCACCGTATTTACGCTACTGCAGTCGACCTGTGCTATTTCATTATTGAAAACCTCCGAAAATTAGATGAAATATCAGCATTATATTGAACATTGTGTACTTCTCACCAGTGATACCGGGCAAAAGTGAAGTCACAATCTTTTCATGCATTAGACAATCGTCGGACAACTTGAGACAAGAGGCAGATTACCTGATGAGGTTTGAGGCCCCTATCGACGGAAATAGTTAACTGAGTTAGGCTTTAAACATGACAGATAAAAAACACAGTATCAACACATGAAGCAGCTGGGTCATGTTGAGAAATGTCGGCATTTTGATTTACCTCATCTAGACAACCGAAATGAATTGTTGGAAACGCCAGATGACATGCTTCAAAAACAAATCGTAACGACGGAGATGCATCCCTACTTTGTTTTTATCTTAACCACAATATTTCATTTCATTCCTTGCTTTAATACCTCTTCTTTTTGCTTTATAATTTTAAAGTCTGTTTATTTAATTTTCATTTCTTTCTACTTCCACTTTAACGTGCAAACGTGAGTTGTAACAACTTTCACCAACAAATAGCAACACTGAAATCTATAAGGTTTTTCTGTTATGTATATACAAACCTAAAGTTTCACGCCATTCGGTAGGAGTTGCCACAAGTGCCACAACAAAGAAAACTGCCAAGAAAAAAGTGCAATATGTTCAGAGTTCCCCGTCTAAGCTGGTAAATCAACTGTTTTTATTATCTATCTTTAATGGTAATGACCACCAAACCATCATAAACGCTGAAAATATCAAGTCATCGACTAAATCAATGAGGAAATGAATTCACTCAGTCAATCGTTATAAAATATTTCTTCCTTTCTTACAACTATGAAAGATAGATTATTAATATTAGAGATGAATGCAAGTAAGATCAACCAAAGACTGAAACATGCATTAGGCATAATGTTAACTGATAACAGACCAATATTCGTGCACAAAAAGTAGTGTTGTTCAGTAGTAGCATAATTTCATTTGTTACTGACGACTTGCATCAATAATAAGCATGTAGATTTCAGATGCGCCTCTGAAATTATTATGACAGAAATTCACAGAAAGTATAAATTAAATAGAATGCTTCCTTACAAGAAGGTTTCCATCCCGAGAGACTATATTGTCACTCCTGTGCATTCCTCAAAGTGACTTACGCGCATATCTTGCAAAACCCAACCAAATCCAAAGTTGGGATGTATTGTTTCAATCAACTTCAAAAGTAATTCAAGAGTTGACATGTCCCCATCGAATCGACCACGTAAATCTTCATACTGGACTTTTACCGCCACCTGTTTACCTTCATGAGTAACAGCACGATGTACCTGAGCCAAACTGGCTGCAGCTATGGGTTCATGTTCAAAACTAGCAAATAATTCTGAAGGTGGTTTGCCGAAATCTTCCATGAATATTCGACGTACCTGTGAGCGAATAACAGTAACAGAAGGTAACAGGAAATAAAAGATACATGCTGTATGTATACATTCTGAAAGAAAAAACAAAGTATGGGAACATCTGCCGCCCTACCACTAGCTCTGAACCGTATCATCCTGTCTGCAACTAAGAAATACATTGGTCAAGAGCTTCGAGTTTTCGGGAAATTTTCGACTTACCAATCCACCCACTTTCTTAGTAAATGAAGTTATCCTGAGTTTACTTTAAACAAACTTCGTACATGGGCATCAAGATGCTTTAAACGAAGAAAGCCAACAGCATTAGTAAGACGCAAAAGTGATACAGCAAGATAGAAATAAAACAGAAATCGATTATTATAGAAACGAACTCAAAGACAGATACGAGAAAAAACTCACTTTCATTTGACTTCTTTGTAATAGAAGGGACAAAAAAGCTGCAGTACGATCGCCATTGACTTCAGTTCTGAGTCATGTTTGCTATCATCTCGAGTCACTGGGTTGGACAATTTCTCAGACTTTATCCAAAGAACTGTGAAGTACCTACAGTGACTAACCAAACACAAGCGTCCTCTATCCTATGGTGGATCATAAACTGGTCACCTATGTTTCTTTCAACCAGTCTCAGAACAAACGAACCGTTAGCGGTGTGGTAGCCGCTGAGACGACACTCGCGACATATGTTTGAAGAAGACTACACTCAATGAATAGTGACATCCATTACGCCCAAACATATGCCATTTCGCCTTAGAATTACCTACATTTTGTTTCCACCGAATACTAGCAATCCTACGGAAAAAACAACAACAAAAAACCAAGGGTCATGGGACATTTTTAACTCGAAGAGGCTATTTTTAGAAACATAACTACCCGTACTCATACGTTCGTTGTATAACAGTTCATGAGGGCAGAAAAAGTGATTCAGATTGGCAAACATTCTTCTGGTTTTTAGTGTATCGTTAGGAATCTCATCAACCATAGACACATAGAATCAACGTAGAACCTTGCATACAAGTGCATCGGTTCAATTTGCCACGCTTCACAGTAGTATACAAAGAATAAGTGGATAGAAAAAAATATATCAAAGTAGACAAAGTTGTATGAGAGAATGAACAAACTGAAGATAACGGTTAATGCAAATATTCAAGCTTTAGTGTCAAGGAGTAAATACATTTGCGCTACTGTGACTGATTTTCAGCCATATCATCAAGAATGCTCAACTACTGATGCCTTTCATCTCGTAGACCCCAGTCAAACAGTCCATATCTCCTAACACGGCTCAGACCAAGTCAGAGACTTCATCGACTGCCACCAGGTCTTGGTCTGGCCACCCTGAACCTCTCCTAACATGGGTTGCGTGATCTCTCGGACCCCACCCAGGGAGTCGTGGTGCACCAACAGAGCTAACCCGACATAACTATCTTTCGTTCCACGCACCACGTTATACACTGACCAGCCCTCTGTTTCTTTCATCCAGTCCCAGGGCAAGCAGACAATAGACGATATGGAAGCCGTTGGTACGACATGTCCAAGCCACCGAAGTCGGTATTTCCGGATGACTCCCCTTATTGAATGACGATCCCTATCATACTCAAACACGCTGTAGTACTGCAGAATTAATTACATGGTGTTGCCACCGGATACGAGAAATCTTACAGGGACAAGGGTGAACGAACACAGAGTGGTCGCACATCCTCAGCTCTGAGACGGCAGGTTTCACAGACGCAGAGCAGAACTGTTCGCACCGAGGCGTTGTAATAAACCCAACCCTTTACGGCCAGACTAACATCACAACGGTGCTAAAGGTGACCTAGATTGGGGTATACCACTCTGGCTTTCGACATGCAGTTACGAATTTCATCACACCACACAACTACCTAGATATACGAACTTGCCGACTACTTCCAACGGCTCACCACTGAGGTTTAGAACAGACACAGACCCCTACCAACCCTGTGAAAGTACTTCGCACTTCGATGGTGAAAAGAACAGGCCATACTTACGGACAATAATCGCCAACTGATTAAGTGCGATTTGAGTAGCCTATGTGTTATCGCACAGTAAAGCGACATCGTCCGTATATTCAAGGTCGAATAGCCGCTCTCCGGGCAGCAGATCTACACCACCATGACACTTCCTTTAGAGCTATCTCAAAAATGTCATCAATGGTGGAGTTAGAGAGGAAGAGAGAGATGGGCGACCCTGCCTAACCCCACTGCTCGTTTGGAACAACGGAGACAAATGGTTGTATGCCCTCACTCTACCTGAGGTGTTAATATGTAAGACTTTCAGGATGTCAGTAAATTTCTCAGGTACGACCCTCGTACAGCTACACAAACAACCAACTCTAAATATTTCGCAGAGCTGTTGTTAAGAGTCCCCAATTAAGCATACAAAACTTTAGTTGCTATATTCCATTCACGATAAGATGTTAAGTGTTGTGAAAAGTCCAGGGAGTGAATGAAAATGCACTATTTAATTTCAAATCCATAAAAAGTAACGCAAAAATTAGCAAGCCGATCACTTTTTGCATAAACTATGCCCTACTGTGTAAGCAAATGCAAGAGAACAGTTTATTCTTTGGATTTCTCTAGTTAGAATTTTTAGAATCACATCTTAGTAACTACGTTATAAAATCTTTAAACTAGATGGAGCATGTCACTGCTAGTCATCAGATATTTGCACAGAGAATCCGGAACTAAAAGTGAACTAGCATTTCTAGTCAACATCAGTTGGTTACTGTGTTGCATAATCCACCGGTAATGTATTGCAGGTAAGTGTTTCATGAAAAATTTACACACTCATTAAACATTTACTTAAAATACGTTACTTCATTCCACACTGCATAAAGTTTCATTGATATATTTAATCTATCGTTACTTAATAATTACATTAAATAGGCGAAAGGGCGGTTTCGAACAAGACAGCAAGCTTCAACAACATTGGTTGGTAAAGATATCGGTTGAGGAGCAACACAGTGATACAATTAGTTTGTTCTACTTAAAAACATCTGCATCAACCTGATGATTAAAACTTATAGTAAGCAAGTCATACATCGATAACACAATACCGTTATTTTGTAAGCCTGGACACCAACGCATTGATAAGACACAGAAGGGCAGCAATTATGCAAGCAACCAAGAAATATATAGGAAGATAAAGTGAGTGATAAAATAAACATAAGGGATACATCTTTCTGATGTATTGTCCCAGATATACCCGATATATATACAAAAAAAGAATTAGATAGAAAGTAACAAAACTATTAATATCTAACGTTTTATTAGGCTTATAATAAGGAGCCCCAGATAGTGTCAACTAATGATGTAGAAAGACGGCGTGGAAATGCTACGGAAGAGGAAAACGGATGGAGTGATTTTTAACCATATTCCTCAAATAAATTAATTACTACCCTCCCACATTTTTGGCCTAAGGTGCACTTGAGAAAACTGAGGTGGAGGTAGGGTAATTATGGAAAAGGTGAGGCCACACACTGGGCCAGTTGTAGGAAGTCAGGGCCAGACGTAGGGAAGATTCTGCAGAATCCCGCAACAGGCCCTACATTTAGTTCGTCTTCCGTAGGAAGTGGTTCAACATGCCCCAACGAAAATGTTGACCAGGTAAAGAGGTAACCCAACGGGAATAAGATCAATAGACCAAAGACTAAATATGGATAGTTACCTCATCTGCTGAACGAGTAAGGGCTTGGTCATGCAACTTTTCCAGAGTCTCAGTGTACTGTTTAGGTAAGACATGATTCATACTTGCCAGACCCTGTCCCATCTTGACATACAAACCTCCATTAAATAGACAGCCTTGAAGTATTCTATCAGCTGCTCTTTGATGACATTTTCCTAGCTCATGAAGATATAATTCAGAGCCCTGTAAAGTAAAACAATCCTAAAATAAAACAAAAAAAACTCAACTTGCGTTAGGAAATATGGTCATAGTCCATTTGTAGTCCAAGGAAATGAGGGTACCTGTGTAGACAGCCCTGATGTTGACAGTTTAGTTAGTGTGAATCAAATACCTGACAAATCTCTTAGCAGTTGCAACATGGTTATAAACAGTGAGTTTATTTTTATCCTGTAAGCATGCGTAGCAAATAAGTGAACCAAATATGGGGACCGAAAATGTCAGCCCAGCGTAACTACCAAGTTTGAAGGTCAGACTAGACAAGTATGGACGGATCAAGCTATTCAAACCCATGTCCCAACATTGGGATGCGTAAAAGTCAGAAGCAGAACGTACAACACAAAACCACACTTAAGGTGACCACTATCAAACTGCGCTGACATTCAATTCATATATTGAACAGTAGAGAGAATTATTATGCAAATAATAATATAATCCCAGCGTAATCAGCAAATAAAAACAGGATTTTTTCGAATGCACTTCTGCATATGATGTGAATGGCATTGTACATCGTGCCGAAGAAACTGTGGCACAACAATAGGAACGTTCAGAAAAATTTTGTTATGATTTACTTGATAAGCACTAGACTACATTAAAGATTGCTCACATAATAATCAAATCCGACTCATTCCTTAACTCGTTGTGAACGTTCTTAAAAACTGTGAGTTGGGTATTTTTAATAGAACGGGGAATAATTATCCAATAATAAACCAGAAGCAGCGAAGTGCTGCAGGGGCTTGCAGCTAAAATTTTCTACTTTGAATGATAGACGAGAATAATTTCTCTATTATCTTCAAGGGTAATGGAGTCATAGGGGTAGGTCTGCACTTAGCATCTGTTTTCCCAGACCTTAAACACTCCAGTAAAGCCTTATCAGGTAAACAAGGTAGCTGTTCCCGATGTGAAATATGGTTTATTATCGATATTCAGCACAAAAAGGTAGCAGCAGCGGGCTTGATGATGGAGTACCATATGTATGTTATCTCCATGTTGCGTCCGGACAATGATTTCCAGCACCTATTTGAGCTAAAAAAAAGGGATGATTTGGAGATGAAGTTAGTGACCCCAAGAAAGGCTTCCTTTAGTTTTCTCCAAGAATCAATTTAACACCATCAGAATTATTTACGACATGCCCATTGGAAATCTCGTGTGTCTCAAGCAACGAGGTGTACATTGTTATATGAACTGCACATCTACCACACCTTCAGATTAACGTCACGATCAATCTGATCAATCAGAGATTCGTAGCCAAATATTTATCATGGCGTAAGACAATGCACGCGAACATATTTTACGAGTCAAAGAATAAACATTCATCGTCACACCTACTTGTAAGTTGGTTATTTACCCGCTTTGACAGCCCTATTTCAGGACATCAATATAGAAGTAGCTGGACCACTGCCCTTTCGATGGCTTCAACTATCTTCTCAAGATTATGGATTGATTTACCCGCCGGTCTGTACTCGTTGGAGCCTGCGGCTAATACTCTGCACGGTCTACTTTAGACACAACGTAACAAGCAAGGGGCAATGGAAGTAGTGTTTACCTCAAACACTTTGGCAGGCTAGTCAAGTAGGCAAAACTTTAGCAAGCACATTGAAAGTCCCTCGTCATTCAATCAAAGCCACCGGTGATTACAAAGCACACGAAAGGGAAATTCACGACTAAGTTTACTGAGGATAGCAGTTCTACAGGCAGGCATTTCAGCCGAAACATTCACCAGGGAGGCACAAAACCACTGGATACTGGAATTCATTGTCCACTCAATCATTACTATGAATAAGGTGTGCAATTTGAAAGTCGCTTATTCCAACAGTTCATTGACTTGCTTGGCATCTAACGCGTACAGGCAACGGCAAACCATCACACAGAGAGACGTTAGTCGTTGCTCCCTGCAGTTAGTCTGCGGAAGACACTGCGATTATCAGGAGGATCTTTCACCATAAACTCTCTGGTTCAGCTCCATACGGCTAACTACGTGCGGTTACTATAAAAACATACGATCATAACAACGGCCGATGCACGTTCTATCCCAATTAGTCAACCCCACTCGCTATTCTGTCAGGAGTGGCATCCACCAACCTCTACAACCAGTTTGTGATGCTCTATATAGGGTCTTAAATAGGACTGATTGGGTCTTTACCATGGGTTTGGTAGAGCTGTTTGTGTCTACCGGGTAAAGCCTGGTTTCATCCATGAGCCTAAGGAAACAACTAGCAAAGGCGTCACACCAGGATAGGTCCCAGCAAGTGAAACCCTCACAGAAAACCCGGGAAGAGTTACCAGATCAGGCATAAGAGTTCATTGGCTAGGACACCACGTGAAAATAATCACGGTTGGATTATTCCTTCATTGTGACTGTATTTTCCACACCATATTGACACTAAGTTTGTTTACACTGATGGACACTGTTACTGTACACTCATCCTTGTTCATTTTCAGTTCTTCACACATTGCTCTTCTCTTTTAGCCCTGCGTATTCTCTATCATTTCTGACTTTTGCAACCAGCTACAACACTTTCATAATTCGGTGATTAAGCCTAACGGTTACTAACTGTCGCATTCCAGTACGATGCTGCTGAACACGCACTTATTGCTGTTTTCGCCGTGATCACTTTTGTTCTCCTACCTACATTCAAATGTCTCAATTCATACTTCAGTGTATTGGTGGGCAAGGCACGTTGTCTACTACATGTAGCTTTATTCGCACTTCTTTGTGAGTGTTCTGCGTACCAAAACCACATTGATACTGAAGTTAATTTTATTTATGTACATTGTATATCACAACAAATAATTACATACTTTCGAATTCGGTGGCGCGTCTTTTGGTTTGTCTTCTGTGATCTTGTGTTCCGTTGACTGGTGTTGGTGATGATAAGACTCACAACACTATGTACAGCGCAGGTTGTATCTACTGTATTATCCGTATTCACGTTACAACTAATTTGGAACCATTGGAGCTGAGCATCTAGGGCATAAAGAGATGCCAACATTGTTCAGAACACTTTTGTAACACCTTCTTCCGCACAACCGAATTTCGGCCGCTAGAAATATTCATGATGTGGGCACCTACTTTACCTGATATCTTTGTGTACCGTGTTCTATCTAGTCAAAACTATAACCATGAGTATGAGTTTCGCACAGAATAGCTAGACAGTCTGCACTCTTTCGCTCTTGAAAATGGTTCTGTTTTGTTCCAAAAAAGTACCACTATCGTTTCTTTACTAATATGTAGCTGCACTGAGTCATGGGAAGGAAGTAGACGCAGTATGCTTTGGTATCGGTATCCCTGACACAGAGGTTGCTAACAGTTCTCTGTTCCCCAAACCGGATCCTGACGATGTTCACAGAAGTTCTTCGCCTGGTTTGGATTCAGTATTGAGGGCAATCCCCTTATGGTTAGGTCCGATCACTACCACTAGGGGAACATATTTGGGAACTCAAATCCCGTAAGGGTCACTACTCAGCCTCCTACTGCCTGAAGTCTGTGTCTGTAAACTCTCACGGACCTTCCAGTTGCCACGAGCGTTGCCTTCATGTGACACAAGGCCTAGCGAGAAATAGGTATCACGTGACACTGCAGTACACTGCAGAGGGATATAAAGGGATTCAGTGGGCATCAAGAGGCTTGTCGGACCTCAATCCAGCCGGCTAAAAACTTATGTGCCCAGTTACACTGAGATACAGTGTAGCACCGAGTGCCGCTAAGAAGCATGCTTACAGGGTGCCTGTTTGGGGGCTACCTCAACTTTGATTCTCTGGCAGCGTGAACCTTCTCCGTGGTTGCGTCTCTATGCGTCAACGTGGAGAAGGCCTACACAGCGTGGGAACGTGCTGGCTGAATAAAAACGCGACCGTTTTGTACACTGGGGATTACGGGTCTAGCCTGTCTGAGTTCGGTGATGTATCTCCTCATAACCTCTCTGTATACCGACCAATACGTGGTCAGGTTGGCCCAGTGAAAACAAGCGGTCAACAAGATCCACATATGCGGGATCATCGGTAGGAATCTCCAAAGCTCGGACGATTTTGTCAGCCGTCGGATTCTGCGCAACTCATTGGGGGCTGTGCTACCGGAAAATGAGGCGAATCCAGCGTCGAACCCCGACAGTTGGGAGAGTTCTGGGAAAACATAAGTCAGTTTGAGGGGGGTTAACAGAATAGCGTAGCAAAGTGTTTGTGCCTATGTGGATGCGTGGCTTGGGTCTCCCTTGATCATGGTAGAGACAGAACCACCAGGTTTGTGCTGGGAAGTGCATAGATCTGAGGGCTGATCGGTAACTTAGAGGTGCGCCAAAAATCGGATTGAAACCTGGGGTAACCCCAATTACTGAAGCCACGTCAAGAAAGTTCACCGAATATCGGGAATGCTGCTGGTATTTTTCGGTAAATTCACAAGTGAAAAGCTAATGATCTTATGTATTATTTATGTCCGCCCACACCTATGAGACAGGATCACCACATCCAAAATATGAAGTCAGCAAAATAGAAAACTGCATTTACTGTTAAAGCCATAAGAGTTCGGGATTACTTTCAAGTCGTATCGCTCCAAGAAGGACGATACTGATGTATATGGCCTAAAATAGGGCACTGGGTGACTATGCAATACCAGTAGGAGCGGACCGACCTGCCTAGGAATCCGTGGTATGCGAGTTGTGGTCAAGTGGCAAGTTGAAACCTACTCTGATAGCCACCCGTAGCCTAAAGTGCTTCGCATATTTGGTTACAGGATTTCGCAGATTCTTCAGCTCTTCTGTTATAGGGTATTGTCCTTCCAATGGTAATGCTTTAAAAACCTTGATGGGATTTTATTTTCTCAAGAATTTTTGCCAGGATTCTCCAAGCCGCCGTCTCTGGATCCCTGTATAGAGGAGTTAGCCAGCATTAGACATCCTCAATCCTGCATGAAAATCCTGTGAACTCAAATGGGACTCCTAAAGCGAACGGATTTTGTGAAGTGTCACATGAATACAACCCCTACTATTGAGTATTCATGAACTGTGATGCAAATAAATTTGAGTGCAGAGAAAATCTGCTTCGAAAAAGGTGGACGGTCAAAGACAATTAGCTGATGCTATGCTATTGTTTATGAACCGCCTACAGTTAACCAGTTACGAGTCTGTAAAGACGAAAATTATTTTATGCGTCAATGTAAAGTCATAAGTAACTGTGGTCAGAAAAAAGCATCAACCTCAAATCGCCTGACAGGCCCATTTCCGGTCGGTCCTTCACTTTGCCGGGAGGACACTGCCATCGCTGCGTGCAGCATTTCTGAAAGAAGCGGTCGGCTACCGCCGTAAAGGGTGTGCTATTTCTTGACGCAGTCAAATGTCCTAAGCTGGGAAGAGTCAGTGTGAGCTCAGCAAATAACGTCAAGCAGTTGTCTTCTAGGCTGCGAATGACGCCTATCCCCATAACTCCATGTAGTTGTGCGCTGGGCTTAAGTTCAGGTAGGTACTTAAAGAGATGGTCAAGGAATAAGGAAGCGTGTTGGGAGGCTTCGATGATGACTACCCCAGCCTACCCAAATGGTGCTTCTAGTATGGCTGAGGTCACTCTCATGTGGCAATTTCGGGGGGGATCGCAACACGGTAGAGTGGGAGAGGGAATGATCGAATGGTGTGTGTATACCGTGTAAGACTGAAGCTTCTTAAGTAGCCAGGGAGAACAAATGATTGCCGAAAACATGCAGAAAAAATGGAGTACTAAGTGATTTTGTCCAGCCCAAAAAATTAAGGTTGGAAATGGTGTCAACGGGAACTTGGACAAACCTCCCTACATTAATCAATCCCGAGGGCTCCAACTAGATGTTACCACCCAAAGCGCAGGCATGGTTACCCCTAATCTCATTTTTGTAGGCCTCAGCGATAATGCCCGTTCCAAGAAAGAACGGGGTACTGTGCCTATATGTACAGTATTTCAAGTCGAGTGGTGCCACCAGGAAAGACAAACTGACAAGCACCCTAAATCTTTTTAACGTCTGATACGTGCTGTTCCCAAAGGCTTGAGATACAACACGCTCGAGGTTCAATGAGGCGATAAGTTTAGCTGCGGTGCCGGCAACTCTAGAATACGTTCATAATGATTCAGGGAATGATGCATGGGCGAACTGATTGGAGTAGATGAAAACTATATAAGTAAGATTCATTGCGATCTCTTAGTTCTTGAAAAACCAGAACGTTCGTCTGTGTATTCCACGGCTTCTTCAACAGAACACTGGTAACGGGGCCGCTAAAAAGAGATGTGTTCGAAATAGTTGTGGGACGTACGGACACGGAGAGAACCGTCCTCAAAAATCGCAGGCCCACTTTTTAACACGGAGGCTGATTCCCCTAATTAGGTAGTTGCCTCAGTGTTACGTGAGGCAACGAGAGGATATAAAGTAATCCTAGTGATGCTTAGTTTCTTCACATTTTGGCGCAAAGGTAGGTCGTCGAAGGGATTACTGAGAGTAACACGTGTAAGGTAGTTTTGGTCGCCCAATTTCTGGGTGGGTAGTGCCGGATCACGTGGACTGTAACCATTTCTTATATCTCAGAAGCTTATTGCCATAAGGAGTTTACCGGCTGTTTAATGTGCCAAAAACCTGGAGTACTGTCCGTTATTTCAAACTGTATGGCTTAGTAGAGTGGGCAAGCGAAATAATTAGGAATCGACCCTGCGCAATCGTTAAAACGGGATTTCGGTGACATGACGCTCGTTGGCACCCAGTACCGCTAAGAGAAAGATTTCAGGAATGTGAAGAGCAAATACCACACTTGGAGATAGATAGGAGAATGAGTCCGAAGGAATTTCATCGTTACCAGTGGTAGGGTGATTCTATCATAGTATCTGAAACGGTGACTGTTGTGACTTCAGGTTGTTGTGGTGGTCTGAAGTACGGAATTCTGCTGGTTCGCTCTTAAAGTCAACTTTGAGGGTGGTAACCCTTTCATATACTTGTCCCTCTCGTATGCCCAGTCTATCCGCCGGATGAGTTTCACAAATTGCCCCTCCCAGCCATGTGTGAAAGAACACAAAGTTTATTGCTTACCGCCTACATTCTTTTGGCAGCTTGGATCATATGTGTAAATACAAATCAATTTCTTCGTCACAATGGGCCATAATGTTTAGGGTAAAACTTCCAATTTATGTTCAGAAAATGAGATAACACACAAAAGCTGATATCAGTTAGTATGCGACTACTTCCAAAATGTGAGTCATATAAATGAACGAGTATGCAGGTGGTGTGTTTTGCTATTTCGTGACGTTTGACCGACTCTACTTAAATTGATGTGTTCTGGCACCTGCTTGACCAGTACCTTAACTGACGCGTAAGAACTGGTTTCAGGAATATATTCGATGAAGTTTTATATTTATTTAGAATAAACGTAATAGTAACGAATAGGGGAAAGTTTGTTCAACTTATCTGGCTAGTATGGCTGAACTGGGGGCTCTGGGTACGTGCATACTGACCAGAACAAAGGGAGAGCAAAATGGCCCAAAGCCTGGTCGGATGCGTGCTTGTTAAAACAAAACTTAAAAATCCTAAAGCATCCGGAGGTGAGCTAGTGGTTTGTTTAGTTAATATAACTTGATCCGTTTATTTTGGCCCTAAATATATTTTGGCCCCAGGAAGGTGCACAGGTGATCAATCGAAAACTGTTGAGCTGAGCCTTTCAACAACGTTAACAGGCAGATTATAAGCGAAACATATAGGCAGCATAAAGAAAATAGTGCAGTGGGGAATAGATACCTAGAATTCAGGTTTTCTGGATTTCGGCCGATACGACTGTGGTAAAGCTGAAGAGCGATACTGCAATACGCAGCACACAGGTCACAGACGAATTTGTAAAACCATGATAGTGGCGGACAAGGTATTATTAAATGTCACTGCATGTTGATGACGGAGTATGGCTTACATAACCATAAACTCGTGGTTGTAAAAATGTGCAGCTGCTAGAAATGACAAACCCACAAGAAGCTACTCAAGTGGTAACACAGGACCATCCAGAAATGAGGAAGGAAGAGGAAAGAAAATACAATAGGTGTGGATATTTACCACAACCAACCGAATCAGTGGAGGAACAAGACATATCTTGACAATCCTAACGCAAATAATGACCCCACTAGTCTCGAAGCTTCTTCCAACTCCAAGATTTGAGGCTACGGAAGTGGAACACTGCTGAGAACCAAAAGCAGCTAGAGATGCTCTTCACCAGGCAATAAACACGGTCAGCAAAACCTTAGGAGTGGCCAAGCAAGACAATCAAAATATCATCAGTCGGCGGCATGGATTGCTTGTTTTGTCTTCAGCGAGAAAGACGCTGGGTCGAAAGGCTATGCTGAATCTTGCAGTGATCATTTTTATGAAAACGCAGTTCCGTTTGGACGTGTTCACTGAAGGAGTCGCCAACACGTGATCCAGTGACTAGTTGTTGTCGTTGTTGACCCCACAAGGAACCGAAACTTTTCCGAAAGAGGATTCGCCAGCGGGAACCAGATCTTTTTCTAAGGGTCTCTAAACCGACCAGTCTTAGAGATGCTGGAGGGGTAACGCTAATCCGAACCTAAGAAAGTATTCGTCGTACGAAATGACAGCATCAAACCACCGCTTTCCAGAGCCAAGGCTACGAAAGAGCTGAGATTTTCGATATGCGTATTTTGGGGCAGGTGAGGATGATGTGTTAGTAATGAAGTACCTACCTCTTTGAGGCAAGGGTTAAGTGCCGGAAAACAGTGACGTAAGTACGACGCAGGACATGCAGGGAATCAAGTTTGAGATATTCCTTTGTCAGGGTTAGGGTGCTGTGTGAAGCCATAAAAGCAGACAAAATGAATCGGCCTCTGAGGCACTAAAACTTGCAGCATTTTATAAGTTACAGCTTTGAGCAGTACCGGTTCATTGGCTTGAATCTGTGGCGTCAGAACCAGTAGCCTAGGGTTCGACAAGATTCAACGTTGATGCCCTTACATTTTGCAAGACTCGCTAAGTTGAGGGCACACGGTCAAGCATCCACGCCTTTTGACACACTGTCATGTTGCTTTGCAATTCTCGTAATCGACATCCTAGCCAATTAGTTGAAACGGATGGGTATTTTGGCACGACCTCCCAAAGATACTATTCCACCCGACCACGCTATTGTGTTCTTCCATTAATGTCGTATTCGCGGGCGTGTAACAAGTACGAATGACTGACCTCTGCCTCTGCCGAGTTCGCGCCACGACAAATCTTAAAGACCCAAAGTCCCAGTAGATTGGCCAACAGAGTAACCACGCATGAACAACATCATTGCACTTCCATTGGAGTTGATTCCGAGACTCCACTATTCAGATCCTCCAACCAGTTCATCAAAGCCAGCTTATCATGGAAACATATTGTTATATAGTTGTAAAGACTAAACTCTGCACAAAATGCCATTCAACAAATACAAACACTTTCTATGTCAAAGAATTATCATAAAATGTAGCTGACTAAATGACAGTGCTCAGCTTTTACCCTTACACACACTATTCTCTGGATCACATTAACATTGGGTATCAGTGGTAATGCATGTTGTTTCTACTCTTTTGATTGCAGTCTTCTTGGTTTTACACTGTTGCTGATGTCAGACATGATACAGCTATCTCTAGATTGGAAAATGTTTCTTTTTGTTTAGACAGTAGGTTCTCGCGACCATTTGCAGCATTCACCTATGCCAACGATTGTTGCATTGCAGTAACCATCATCATGTTATTTATTTTAACATGGAAAATCCTTAAAATGTAAGAATGTAAATAAAACAAAAGACGGTCTGATACATGTCTGTGACAAACACTTTTGTTTAATTTCACCACATTTTAAGACTGTATGGCCTTCAACTCTGGAACACAAACGATTTACTTACGTTAATCTGCGCACAAAATATTTAAAATATTTCCTGTGTATGGAGACTCTATTTCCACAATGCTTGAGTTCTACATATACTTAATTTGTTTTGGATTAGTTATCATATTTGATGATAAAAAATAACCTTCATATTACATTTTGTCTACTTTTATCTCACTTGACTTATCATAAAAATGTTGCTGGTTTTGTTGATGATAACATACAAGTTCATCTTCCGACTGAGGGCTCAGACATAATAGTTTCAGAAGGAGAACAGGTTATACTACCATGCAAGACAATTTTCTTTCTGATTCGTTGATATCCTGGTATAAAGATGATAACAAAATTGCGGAAAACTTGACCTATTCCTTTCGTCTACGGTTCGCTACACGTGAAGATGCTGGATATTATCACTGTATTGTAAAAACTGCTTACGGTGGAGTCCGTAGTCGAAAAATCAAATTGGAGGTTGGCTGTAAGCATAATTATTAAATAATTTGCATATGACTCATTTGTTCCTCACTTTTTTAAGATACATATTTCGAAACTTCTTTTGGGTAAAAATTCGTTATCTGTTTGCGTGAGACACATGTTAGATAGGACTGAACACATAATGTATGCATTAGAGCTTGTTTTGCTTTACCAGGCGTTTTATCAAACCTAAACTTTTGTTTGTTCCCATTTCTGATCTGTCAGATATTAGCCTAATTGATGAGAGAATTTTGGCTGCAGTGTAAGATTCTGTCCTTTTGAAATAAAGCTGTACTTTTAGTAGAATTCGGCCAGTATAATACATAGTAAACCATTTTTGTGAAATATATGCATAAAAATATTTATGGCTAGTTTTGTCTTTCAGGATAATAAGTAAATAACTTTCTGACCTATCTTTTGGTATTCAACATCAAGTAAAATGCTATAACTCCTACCACTGTATACTATTTTAAGCTACAAAACCAATGAAAAAGGAAGACCGTTTTGTTCAGTTTTTAGTGACTAACATTTGATTCTGCATTATATCTACCAATTTCTAAGAGGGAAAGAAATCGAAAATTTTTGCAGGTTTTGCAGTTCACAGGAAGTGCACCCAAGGTGGAATATTCTTTCTCACTCCGGCGAAACTTACTTGGTTTATCAAACAATTTTTATCCACATATCTGTAAAGCGCCGTTTATTTATTCTAGCTCAAAATTGTATTTTACTGTCATTTATTGATTTAGAATTTTTTCCATGGATTAAGGCAAAATATGTATGTATTGCACCTGATCTTACGCTGTATTTTAAAGATGGGCACGTTAAGAATCCTGCCTTTGTTTAATTTTTACTTCGTACCTAACCATAAGGAATGACAGATCGAGGCAGTACAAGTTTTCTAGATTCCTAAAAGGTGGTTATAGTAAAGACTACTGCTATACAGCCTAGCGCTCACTTTAAATATTAGACAAATGAGCTTTATAATAGGGAGATATTCCGTTCATGGAATGTTTGTGCCTATTTAAAATAGTGTTTAGCTTCAATAGGAGTTGCTGAGTGAGATACATATCACTTTTACAGAAGGTCAATATGGGAAAGTATTTATGCATAAGTTTGAAGAGTACTAACAATAACAGCTTTCATTAGGGAGTTCAACTATTCGGATTTTCGTTTTTATCTTTCTGTCAGTATTTTAGATCCTAAATCTTTATTTCCAATTATTCTTCTGCAAAGCTTACCTGACTAGCAAAGACTGTAAGAGAAATAACTTACTGCTCCCGAAGGGCACTGCAAAATGCCTTTTGTCGTATAACCTTACAGAGTTATGTGAGTTATGACCCCAGTTTTGCATGAAATTTGTATATTGGGCAGCAGTAGTCACTGGTTAAATTAACTTCATTTTGTTGTAATATATCCGTGAGGCGTAGTTTGATTCAAGTCACTTAGTAACTTAATCTATTCCTTGAATAGTTTGTACCAGTACCATTTGTGAAGGGTTTGGGTTAACAACAACGTTACTGTCACATGAACTTCCCTTTTTATTTATTCCATTTTATGCGGGAAATTGTACGACACTAATTATATCTTTTGAGCATAGGTTGATTCCAAGAACTAAAAGTCTAAATACTTGTGAACTTGAGAAGGTAAAAGAACGTTACTCCTTCATTGGATAATCATCTTAATGTATTTACCATGTTATATTCCTTTGACTTTGATATTCGCCGAAGTGTTTTATAGTGAGTGAGCCAACTAATAACCGGAAAATATTTTCATGCTCCTCACTGTAAAAGTTGTGTTTTCTTTGTTCTTCAGTCTGGTACAATTAATGTTTCATATTCTGCTGCAGTCACATAATTACTCCTGAATATCTGATTTGTTATAGACTGCAAAATTTTCCTTTCACTTAGAAAGCTGTCAATATATCATGATTACTTGAGATGGTTTGTAGAAAAAAATATCCATTCAAAGTTCTTCATAAACAGTCTACCTAATGCCAAACTTTTCCAATTCTGTTAGGTCAAATATGATCCTGAAGTTTGCAAAATATCATTGAAAAGCATTAAGGTATATTTATTTCCACCACGAAGGATTTTTAAATATTTTCTGGCAAATATATGTATTTAATGGGAAGATCTGTCAAGCCAGCAATAATAATCTTCTGCAAAAATTGGAATCTTCAGAAGTGAAAGGTCCACCATTTTCAGAGTGAAATCGGGACTAGGAGGCGGGGGTTGTTGATATTTATTCGAGTTACTTGGATAAGTCGGTAAAAGTGGTTACCTCTGAGTTTGTTTATCGAGGACAAAATTGACCTGAATACTACTTTATACATATTTCGGAAGATTTAATGTGACATTTATCAAACCTCGACCGACAGCTGCTATCTTGACGTGGTGGTCGGGCTTGCATATCACAATGACCCAACGAGCCATGCTGGTGAAACACTTCTTCCCTCGAGGTCCTACCATACCACAACGATCTGTTGGATAGGGGTTAAAGGAAAAGCAGTTACCGTTGGGGTGTAAATTACTACAGTGATGGGGGTCTGAGGGAGAAGTCGTACTGTTGCTAGCTGGATGGGGTGTGACAGCAGTGAGGTGTTTCCCTTGGATGACCAGCGGTTCCATACTGATGCCACCTTCTCAGTGGAAGGAGGGGGGAGTTAGAAAAAGTCGGCCCCAAAATAACACACTCCACCATGCCACATGGTCTACCGGGCCAGCGATGTTGGTTCATTTGTCGTTTCCTTTCAACCATCCGGCCCCAAAAATACAAAAGTTCAAAACAATCATACTCAAAAGGCTGTGTGTAACAGGCTTCAAGCAGATATCCGATGTGCTCTGTGGTCACACAAATCTCTTTCAGATACCTTAAGAAGAAATAACCTTCCACGGTGTGGGCAGCCGGAAGTGTCAACCGCCCTCACAACTCGATCAGCACTCAAGTTTCCTCAGACTGCTATCCACCTCCCTCGTCATTAACTTCTAATCTCCCTTCACGTCTCTCAACTAACGATATTACATCATCAATTTCTCGTAGCTCTGTAGCCTTCGACAACGATCTGAGTCCACAGAACAGCATCCCCGGTCTCCTTAAACCACTCTCCAAATTACACATCGGGGCCCTCAATGTCCGCACCCCCAGTCAAATTGGTCAACAGACTTCATTGGCCAAAACTCTAGCAACTCGGTCCATGGATGTGTGCTGTGTTTGTGAGACATGCATACAGGACCAAAGTGCGGTTATTCACCTGACCTCTCCCGACCAATCTGGTGAGTCCGCAAAATTCACCCTCCAAGTTTCTGGAGATTCGATAGCTAGCTCTCGGGGTCTTGCGGGTGCAGGCAAAGAATTAAGTACTAGGGCAGAAAACTCACTACTAGACTGGATCCCAGTTGTTGGTCGCTTCTGCGCTATGCGACTGAACGGCACGGTGAAACTAAAAGGAGTAGTGAAACTCGCCGTTGTCTCTTCGTAATCTCTGCTTACGCACCCACTGACTGTAGTTCGGATGAAGCGAAGGACGAGTTCTACCGTAAACTGTCTAGCCTCCTTTCGAAAGCCAAACGTTCGGACGTGGTTTTTGCTGCAGGTGATTTCAATGCACAGGTGAATAGACTGAGTGATGCAGAAAGGCACTTAGGTGGCACTTTTGGAGTCCCGGATGAACGACCAGATAACGGTGATCGCCTACTACAACTGTGCTCAGATAACCGCCTATTTTTAGCTAACCCGAATTCCAGACACAAAGAAAGACGCTGTCTGACGTGGCGTCCACCGAGATCAACTCAGCGATGGACACAGATAGACCACATTGCTATTAGTCATCGCTGGAGAGGATCGGTGGAAGACTGCTGCTCCTTCGGGAGTACGTGTTTGGACTGCGACCACGCGCTGGTCCGAGTGCGTGTATGCCTGCGTCTCAATGGACGTAAGAAAAATTTGGCGACAAAACCATTACGAATGCTGCTGGACAACGAAAACACCGAAGCCGTGTTCAGTGAGAAGTTGGCTAGGCAGTTGTCGGAACAGAACACCATCACTCATCCAGAGGAAGCTTGGTGCCATCTTCAGTCTGCTGTAAAAGCAGCGTTGAAGACTGTAACCGACTCCAAAATAGTGGCTAAAAGGAGCCAGTGGATATCAGCAGCTTCTTCCGAACTAATGGATGTAGGTGAATGCATCCTTGCCTACAGGCTCTGAGTACAATGAAGAGCGAGCGCAACTTAAAAGTAGATTCTGACAAAATTCTGTACAACGACCGCGAACAGTGGTGGGCAGCGAAGGCTAAAGAGATGGAAAAGGCAGCTGCTATCGATAATAGTATACAGTTATTTAGACTTATTAAGGAGATTGGGGGGAAAAGGTTAACTGCGGTTAGTGAGGCTATAGGGGAGAAGGACGCATCTGCGATCCACTCACAGAGGAGACGATTGGGACGATGGCCAGAACACTTCGAGGAACAGTTTAACTGGCCTCAAGCCATCACTGCGTTTCCCGCTATCCGATCGGATCCTAAATGGAACATTGAGATAGGCCCCCTAACACTGGAAGTCGAGAAAGCGGTAGGCAACCTGAAACGAGGAAGGGCAACAGGGCCAGACGAACTAACTCCTGAGGTATACAAGGATAGTGGTAGAGTGTTCTTAGTCATATTAACGGAAGTGTTAACTAGTATATGGGAATCAAATACCATCCCCTCTAGCTACTCTAAATCACTGATTATCCCAGTCTTCAAGAAAGTCGAGAAGTCCTCTTGTGATCATCACAAACTAATCAGTCTAACGAACGTAGTGTCTAGGATTCCAGATTATATAATCGTTAGATGCCTAAGTGGAGCTGAAGAACAGCAAGCCCGAAGAAACCAGTCGGGCTTTAGACCCGGCCGTGGGTGTACCAACCAAATATCCACACCGCTCCAGGTTCCAGAACACAGGCACGCTTACAGACGCCCGACAACAGCTGTATTTCTCGACCTGAATGCGACATTCGACTCTGTTGACTGAGAAGTCTTATGGCAATGTCTCTCACTGAAAGGCGTGCCGAGCAAGTACAACACTTTACTGGAACACTTGTGGGCGTGTTACAGCCTATGGTGAGATGTCTGGAGTGCTGTGTACGTCGAGTGGTGTCCGTCAAGGGTGCCCACTGTCTCCATTCTTATTCAATTTTATCATAGATATTCTTATGGTCTCTCTCTCGTCACCTGACTACACAGAGGTTGACCTGATCACATGTAAATTTTCGTTAGACCTAGAATATGCAGATGACATAATCCTGTTAGGTGAAGATGCTGACAAGATGAAGAGTCTTTTGGATACTTTGAGTGGGAATTTGAGAATGTATGGGATTCGTTTTTCACCACCCAAGTGCAAATTGTTGCTCCAGGATTGGTCTTCAACAGTGCCTCGGCTAATAATAGAGAGTGTAGTGGTTGAGTGTGTTGACCACTTCACTTACCTGGGAAGTGGGATCAACCCTAGTGGCTGGCTCAGTGGCTGATGAAATCTCTTCACGGATGCAAAAGGCTCGACTGGCTTTTGCCAACTTACGCCACCTGTGGCGCCGCCGTGATTTCCGATTGTCTATTAAGGGTCGCGTGTACTGCACCTGCACAGCAATCCGGTCTGTTTTACTGTATGGCTGTGAAACATGGCCATTGAAGGTGGAGGACATGAGAAGGCTTCAGGTGTTTGGCCACCGTTGCCTTCGCAGCATAGGCCGTGTTCCATGGTGTCAACACTTGAGTAATGCAGAAGTCAGGTATAGAGTTTTAGGGAGTAGAGGTAAATCAGTTGACGAGGTTATGAACTTTCATCGATTGAGATAGTTGGGGCACGTACTACGTATGCCCAGCTACTCTCTGCCTCGTCATACAATGTTGGCTAAAGTAGGCCCAGGGTGGAAAAAGGCTCGAGGTGGCCAGACTAAAACATGGCACCAATGTATGAAGTCTCTGACTGTTGGTTTGAGCCATATGGAGCAATGCAGACTAGGTGGTTGGGGTCCACGGGACAAGAGGAACCAGTGGTTGGAGACTGTAGGTGATCACATGGCTCAGAACCGATGTCAGTGGCACAGATGTATACACACATTATCCTCATTTTAACGGTATACAGAATCTCACCATTTTCACATTTTTTCTTTCTCTCTTTTCGTACTTCATATTTTTGACTGAATTTTCTTTTATTCATCTTTCACTTCACTGCTTTTTTACTTGATGTACTGATATGAGCTACGCTGACTCGGACCATTAAGCAGTAATGCCGGGTCCTATGTCGATCCTGAGGATGATGATAATGACATTTATAAAATAAATAGCGAATCTTAATAAAGCTATGAAGAATGGATGAGACAACTCTTGATGTTTCGATTTCTGACCAATTTTTCCTAGCACATTTTTGCTCTAGAAGCTTTTGTGAAAGGACAATGGGCTAAATTTTGGTTGTGCTTTTGGAGTAGATGTACAAAAATATAACGATTAATCCAGAAGAATCGAAGCAACTGGTGAGGGTAAAATGTGTGTAAATACAGAATTTTTAAATAAGTTTGATATTTTTGCCTCAGAAATGAGATGTCGTGTTAAATTCTTAGCATAGTATATCTTAACCTCTTTTCATTATGGTTTGTATCATACCTATCAACAATTCGTGTAACTGTGCTTTTTACCTGAAGCTTATAGGAAGACAGAATGATGCCATGGATCCATTTCAGGCTTTTGTTAAAATGACTGGCAAATACCTTCGATCTCTTAGAGAAGTTTTTCGTTCTGAAACGAATCATTAGGCCGGAACTCGAAACAAATTTTTGAAAGATAGATAAGGATGTGATTCGAAGTTCGAAAACAGCATAAGAATTCAGCACTAACAGAAGCCTTTTCAGTGAAGTTAGTTCCGCTTCGCTTTCGTGAAGTATATATATCTGTGACGGACTGTAGCATAAAAGATATAGTAGAGAAGGAAAATAGTAGGATGTTTACTTTCCACAGCCGCTTTTTGCAGGCATTTTAAAGGATAATTACCAATAATTCCAACATTTTATGGAACAACAACAGCTTGACTTTTCAAGGTGGAAACTACCACCCGATAGTCATGATACTCACAGGTAAGGACTGACATATTTCAGCTACTACTTACTTGGCTTTTTATTCAGTAATAATTTTTATTGAGTATCATTTTGATTTACTTAATTTTCCAGATCTTGATCCTCCATCTGATGTGAAATTACGTTCATTCATTGAAGTAACCTTGGGACAAGCTATAGTAATCTGGCCGGGTTCTGTGCAAACTGAACAACAAAAGCAATCATTTCCTACGGATGGAGGGAGAGAACCATGGAAACCGCCACTGAATTCAATAAATGAAACACGTAAAACAACACTTTCTACATATTATCTACAAGCGGTACCGTTTCCACAAGCTATATGGACAATAAATAACGCACCGCTGCCTAATACACTGAATATTTTTGTAAGTCAGCTAGAACAAGCAATAGTACTGCTCAATATTGATCGAGAAATGGACTCTAAGGTGATAAGGGCCCGGTTAGTTAATGGCTATGGGAATGCTAATGACGGGGTATTCAGTCAAACACACATTATTCAAGTCAAAGGTGAGTCCCGTTCAAAGTAGCTGATTGTCGTATCATAATTTCATATTGGCATGTGAATCACATACATAATGATTCTTTAACCATTTTTATGGGTTTTCTGGTCTGATTGAAATGTAGTTAGTATTCTGCATTTAATTATTCGCCTTTGTAAGGGATTCTGAGATAGGCTGTAAAACCTTTATAAGAGTAAGTTGAAATTATCGTGAGTTCAAAATTACTTCCTAATTCCATGATTGGTATGTTGTAGTAGAAACAGGTGGTTCACTTAATCAACTGTATGCATTCGAATTTTGATGGGTCTAGGAATTTTGATTCAATATCAGGTAGAATAAATCACACTACAAGTGTATACAAACTCTCATTAGATAACAAATTCTACTCTAAGGGTTTTGAAGTTCTTATCATGTATATTAAAACAGAACATATAAGCGAACAATATCATCTTCAGTTCGATCCTCTTCATGGTTTTATATATATATATATATATATATATATATATATATATATATATATATATAAATTAATTAATTAAACCAGGCATGTAGATTTGTCGACTGATGTGACAAGTGTTTTAAAGTAACGATGCTGATAATAATGTAAATAACAAAATGATACTGTTGGTAGAGTTGACCAGAGTAGTTGTCATATAGATGATAGTGGTGATAAGAGCCAAGAAAACAGTATGGAAATGTAGACACTGAGGTCATAAAAGTAGGCCAAAAGATCAGGGACATAAAAGTTGTGCAGTAGTGAAGGATGAGGTAAGTGGGTAAGCAAAGTCTAAGCAAATATGGTAAGTATATGAAATGGTGTGAAGAATAAGAAAGTAGTAGGAAAAATTTCAGTGACGAAGTTGTTTAGTACTTATTTCTAAGCCCAGGGATAGATTAGGAATGTACAGACACCTTCTGAATACAAAGACTAGGATTTTTAGCACAAACTCCCTCAGCTTCTGCTATATTTAAAATGCCAGTTCGAATATCTTTCCAAAGTTTAGGTGCTTTCTTGGACCTTATCATCATTATCATCCATATGACAACCACTTTAGTCAAACCTGCTAACGTTAACACTTTCATTATTTCTTTTATTATCACCATCGTTCTCTTAAAACACTTATCACATTCACTGACAAACCTAGATGATTAGTTAAATTTCTATACATATTTAGCGATTTGTTTTAAAGTAAAGCTTGCGAGAAACCTAGTTGAAAACAACATTGTTCGCTTATATGTCTGAATCAAATCCTGTTCTGTAAGTTTTTATGCAGCAAAGATGATGGTTTTTAGTTTATTTGTTTGCTTGAAGTTAATTATATGAACAGAAAGGTAACTTACTTTAAGCATATCATGGTAATCGAATTAACAAATTAATTTTCATCTTCTACCATAGAGATCAATAAAATAAGATTTACAAGGGACTACACCTTTTATTTGCAGCCATGCTCTTTATCGACAAGTCTTCATTTCTACAACTATGTTTTCCATTTGTCACTTGAAATCGATGAGCTTCATATACGTCAGAAGAATACCAAGAGAATGATCAGTTTACCTGTTATCAGGCTTCCTAACAGCTTCGGATATGCCTTAAGTATTTATGGAAGTCGTTGAATAAAAAAAACTGACTGCCTGTTCACCAATGTTGTTTGAGCTTAAAATTTCAATGTTACATTCAGACAAATGTTGAGAAAGCTAGACATGGCTGTATAACATGAAACATCCATTTTCAGTATTGATCCTCTTGTTATTTTTTATTGCTGAACATAAGAATGGTGGGGATTAAAATAAACAAGAGTTGTCAGTGAATATGCAATAATTGATTATGATGTATTATAAGCACTTGTAAGCAGAAAAAGATAATGAATTATGGTTCATTTCAAGGTAAGTTTTGTTATCCAACCATATCCACAATGTTGGTAGAGATATATACTCATATGAGGCAAATATGCATCACATGATATTTAGTTTACCAAGTACGCAACGGCTTTCATTGACAAAGTTGAGCATGAAATAGAGCAAAGTTTTGGGAAGAAAATGACGTCTGAATCCTGAAATTATTTTCAAACATACTCTTCTGCATTTCATAATCTCTACTTTAGTTGGTACCAAGCGTTTTTCACTTCAATGAAATTAGTACTTGGTGGATATGAATTACGACGCTTTAATCGATAGTCAACTGCAGGTATTGTGCAAACGCTGGTGAGATAATGCGTAAAACAAATTTGGAGATATTAAATACTTATCATGGCTAGAGTTTGTGAACCTTTAACTTGAAGTTCTACAGTTATTTACGCTCCATTATTCTTGCTGGTATGAATATATCGTTAGAAAACAATCTGAGAATATAGATTCATCCTTAGCTAATGTCCAGAGTTGACTTCAAGATACACATACGTATGGGGTATTATTCTTATGTCTTGATGATTTAGCACTTAAAGCAAAGCAAAAGTATTTCTCTTTGATTGAAATACATTTGTTAACCCAATGTTTCCGTTTATAAACAAATAGACTTATTACATTCAATTGCGCAATAAGAAATATTCTTTATGTAAAGCTCACTAGTACTGTTTAAGTTACTCATAACTATGAAACAATAGTTGCAGGTCAGGGTTTGTTCAATTCATGTTTCAAGCCTAAATGGTGAGTTAATGTGGCCCGAAAAGAATCAGCTTTTAGTCACCAGGTTTCAGTAAGTTTTTCAGCTTCTACAATAAGCAGTTAATTGTTTTTATGAGTGGTTAAAAGTGACTCAAATTCTAAACTGATCAGTAACGATTTCATTTCGTCAATTGACCTTTTCTTACTGTTATTCACTGACTTTTGAATTTCCATTATGTGTCAATGACTCTAAAAAATTTACAGCATAACTAGAGATGTTGCACAAAAATTGTTTGAAAGTAGTCAAACAGGTGGGAGTATTTTCTGTAAGTTTAACGAAAATGGACAAAATTGCAAGTTTTGTGCTTATGGATCAGTCATTTGCTAAACTTTGATGGGTTCGCCAGTTCCATAGTGCTGGTTAAAATCCATCAATCAAGTTTCTTAATGCAACTGCCAAACTAAACAATCCGATAATATAGTGTACTGTGTTTAATTTTAGGCCCTGAACATTTGAGAGTAAGGCTTTTGACTTCTGAACATATTACTCCAACGAACCAAAGATAAAATATTTGGAAGATAGGCTTCATTAGTGCCTAAAACCGTTTAAGGAAACACACTTCCCAGATATTTTACTATATCTAGACATGGTATTACATTTCTAAGGTTGCCTGTCTAGCACTGCTAAACCGAGTCATCTATTTTCAGTCTAACAGGTTTTTTCCCGCTTAGTTGTGACCTGTAGTTTCATGTTATTATGAAACCATTTTTCCTTAGTTGTTTGTTGGTAGCTCAAAGGATAATAATCCATCAGACAGCAATTAGAAAACAGTGATGTATGGTCACATGTAGCCGGCAACAAAGCAGAATGATATCAGACTGTGGTTAATCAATAATACAAATTGACTGAATATGAGTTAATTGTCTAAATTACTGCCTATTATTTCAACGGTAACGCAGACTCAGAATATGAAGGTATAATGTCCCATTCATTAAAAGCTTGGATAAGATTACTTCTAATTAGCTGATGGTTAAAACAAAATTTAAATGCAGTGCAATACGGTTGCAGTATTTCTCTGACTGATATCAAGCCGCTTCAGACGAAAACAATATCCAAAGTACACTTAATAATATTTCCTTAAATACTTTTGTTCCTTTGACTTCATAGATCCACCAGTAAATATGGCTATGCATTCACTAGATCTTGTTTTACCACCGAAAGATGCTTCGCTTGTTTTAAAAGATGATCACCCAGGAATGGCTATCTTTGAATGTGTGTTCAATGCAAGGTGAGTTAGAAAATCATTTTTCTCTCTGTCTCAAATGTTATTGCAACATGTATACATATCTTTCAATATGTGTTATCGAGGTAAATAAGACAGACAAACTAATGAGAGTATTTCGATGTTGTAGTAAGCACGCATTTGAAAGATTAGTATTTTTTTTTACCTCCGCATAGAGAATACACTAGGTGTTAAAGTTGAACATTTGTATTTTGAAATCTGTGTTGTAATGTGTGGTGGTGCTATCTGATGGGAAAGGAAATGTTCAGCATAAAATTAAGAACAAACAACAAATAAGAAGTACCAAGGGGGAATCTAAAAGCCACCCTAGCAACTATGGAAATAATCAACTAGGTTTCTCCGTTTCTGCTAAAAAAGGCAGATTTTCACAAAAAAGAGAAGTCTAAATGGTTATATCAGTTGTTGCTAGGGTGGCCTTTAAAGTCACCCGAGTACCAAAATTCACAATTTAGGCTTCATGCATTCATAGATTCCTCATTGCATTTTTCTCGTTAGTACAGCAGTGTCCTTGATTTTGAGTAATTTGCAAACTGCAAAATATGAAAATAATAACTCAGAAAAGGTATGTTATGCATTACATACGCAAGTCTGTTTCAGTCTTTATTTATATTTGCATCTGAGTACTTGCGATAAATACAATACAGTAGCTCTCAGGTGAGTAAATTTCTACTTATGGCATCCGTTTTGTAGATGTTTTACTTCTTGGTGACGCATTTTACGACTAGATTAGTCACTTAATTCTGAACGTTTTATGAACTAGTTATTAGAGGAGGTGTAATGCCTTTAATGAAGTGGAGAATAGATTGATTTCATACAGAAGGAATAATCACAAGGTTTTGCTGATTCATACTTTTCTCCTGACTACCTCAAGCAATCCAAAATAAACTACTAATGCTCTAAATACCTTTGTATCTCACAGAATGCAGTAGTTATAAGTGTTAAGTACACGCGAAAGATCAATCTTTGTAAGGACTCCGTTCAGGTCTTGCATCCTTAGTGTTACCTTACAATAGTTGATCGCATCTTGTTATCGTTTTGATGCGAATACATGAACAGTATGATCTGATTTTTCTTCATTTACTATTTAAAAGTGTAATGAGTTGCATTGGTTTTATTCTCTGAACAAGCGTCATCTACGAGGTAGCAAAACACGTCAAATTAATTTTTCAACGTCATTGTGATTTTAAAAAAATATATTTCCTTTACTAACCATTTGCCCGAAGTTCAACTTATTCAGGTCCATCTAATCCATTTTCGATCCTGAATCTACAAAATTATAAAATTAGGTTTCATCTTTTATTAAAGGTTAGGATGGGTGGTACATTCCCAGTTGATGTATTTTTGTAGTACAAGATACAATAAAACTTTGGAGCATTGCGTCAATTAGTTTTGTCCAGGTATGGAAACTTTGTTTTTACAAGAACACTCCATAGTATATTGATATTTTAAGGTGGATTTTCTTTTGTAGCAAGTGTAATTCCTCTTTGATTATACAGTGTACTTTGACTTAAGACCTAGAATTTTTGGGGAATATTTTACCCATTCTACCTTGTATTTACCAGAGGTACAGCCTAGAAAATGAGTTCTTCGGAAAGAAAAGAATTTCCGTAATCGATTTTCCTATTACAAAATTAGGGTATCTTACAGACGTGTTAGAGCAATGTCATCCTTTTAATACATTCATATTTCGTGAAGGTCAGCAATTCAATGTCACTAAAAAAATTAATACTAACGAGTTATTCCAATAAAATACATGGCTGCATAAAGTTAGCATTAGGTACAAAGGTAGTCACGTAATTATTTGATATAGTTATTAATATACCTAATTCTGACAAGTTAAGTAAAATAAAACCAAACCACTGCACTCATCTATAGTATCATAAGGATCAACTTTATACCGACAATTTTTTCTTGTATTACCGCTTACTAGTTATGTCTGTATATAAATGTGTGCATATACAGGTTGATGAGAATGACTGGTTCCAAGCGCAACACTCTGGTAATATCGATGTTTTGAATGGGAATGCAATAATTATTTGTTTAAATAAGGTTGCCTGAGTAACAGAGGGATGAGGTATCGTTATGTAGTACTCACAATACACATTCCTTTTGAATGCAACCAATATATATATATATATATATATATATATATATATATGTATATGGCATAACATATCAACATCTTATATATTCATATGCATAATTCATGTTTTTTTAAAATTAAAATGAATTGAATACGTAACAGGAATGAGTAAACACAGCAAAGCAACCACAATGACAACAACACTGGCGACAACAAAACGTCATCTACATCTAATGAATATTTTTTTCAACCTGGTCAGGAAGTGGATCTTTTAAGATAAAGGGAATATAAAAGAAAAGAGGAGCCTTGAATGACAAAACAAAATTTGGCTTGAGTAGACATTTCCTAATTCATATTGGTGTATTACAACATTATTTTCGGATTAAAGCTTAACTTTTTATCTGGTAAGTTAAGGCTTGTAGAGTTTATCTGGAAGGTGAAAGAATCATTGATCAAATATTGTTGTTGAAGCAGATATGAGCAATTAATGCAACTGGAAATTTATAGATATTTGGAAAACTTGGTGGGTTTTTCGAATTCTATAGTCATCTAATTTCTCCTCAACTTTATTCATTCATCAGTCGATCTTGTAAACTAGCGAAAAACAGAAATAAAATAGAATGAATAGCAGTTTACAGCCAGTTCAAAGAGAAATTATTAGTATCATCTCAAAAATATAACCAAACTCTATAATACAATGAGCAATTATGGCTCACTAAAATGAATAAAAAAGCAGTCATCAAAAAGTTCGCAAGAAACTTCCTGAAGACATATTCACATCTAGGACATTAGAGCGAACTTAGTTACTGCGTGAAAAGTATACTAATGTTTACTTTCTGATGGACTTTATGTTCATGAATTAGTCTTGTATAACAATGAAATAATCACAGTTACATCATACAGGTTGGTATGTTATTAAATCTATTTGGAATAAAAATATATGCTGTGTTTCTGCACGTAAACAAACACGGAGTTGATGGAATTTGAGGGAAAGTTAACTAACTAATCACCAAGTAGTAACTACTATACTTAAGTTTTAGGTATGAGGTGTGCCTGGGGTGGAGTAGGGGCAGAAATCGTTGCAAAAAGGTTTAAAAATTTCAAAGATTCGTTACGACAAATGATACACATCTTTTACATCTACTAAACGTATGAATCACCTAGAAGACTTGGATCTCGCCGACGACTTGTGCCTGATGTCAAATAAACTTGAAGATCTACAGGTGAAAACTAACAACTTGGCAGAAGAGGCAGGGCAGCGAAGACGGGACTTCAGGTGAATATGGAGAAGACAGAAGTGATGAAGATATCGCACCAACAACTCCAACAACAACAACAAACTCCAGTCACCACCAACGGGAGAAACTTAAAGGAAGTAACCTCCTTCACCTATCTAGGAAGCACTGTTTCAACTACAGGTGGCATCACAGAAGAGGATGTCAAAGTCAGAATCGGAAAAGCAAGACAGGCTTTCATTAGCCTGAAACCAGTGTGGAGATGTTCTGCACTCAGCATAAAGCCTGAACAAGATGCAGATTTTCAACACCAACGTCAAGTCAATACTTCTGCATGGCTCAGAGACTTGGCGCGTCACGAAAGGGATTTCCAACAAACTACAGACATTCATCAACAACTGCCTGCGCTGGCTCGATACTGAAGACCAGATGGCCAGAATAATAAGAATAAGCAACAAGGAGCTCTGGGAACAAACCAACCAAGAACCTATCACTGGACAAATATGCAGGAAGAAGTGGAGATGGATTGGCCATGCACTGAGAAGGCCGACTGGGACATCACGCGTCAGGCCCTCGAGTGGAATCCCCATGGGAAGCGACGAGTTGGACGTCCGAGGGTGACATGGAGGAGATCGTGCAAGGAGGAAATGCGAGCTTCTGGGCTGTCGTGGAACCAGGTTCAAAAGATCTTAAAGAACAGAGGTCACTGGAGACGTGCTACTGAAGCCCTACGTCCCATTAGGAACCCAAGGGACTAACAACAACAAAAACAAACGTATGAATCAACCTTTATTTGAAACTGAATGGATAATACACTTAAAAGTAACAAGTTCCCGTGACGAAATAATTCTGCTTAACTAAAAATCAAAAATTCAACTACATTTATTTCTTTGGAATCGCACTAATCAAACATGATGCTTCACTTTGTACATTAAGTGAACCTTTTCTTCGAACAACTAAAATTTTTTGCGATTAATACCAACCCTTATACCACGATGAAACAACAATAAATCCTTATTTCTCCAAGCTGTATAAAATTCATGACTTCTTTCGTTCTTCCACCAACTAAGCATTTTTTGTCTAGCTGATATGCTGATTCAAAATTACCTAATGAAAGTTAAGTTCTATTTCAAATTAAGTGTTTGAAAACATGAATACTGTATATGTTCAAGACCAGAAGTTTTATAGCTCTTGTTTACTTAGAATCATATCATAAGTTAGTGAGATTCCAAGGGTATCGAATTTCGGTTTCATGGCATAACAACGGTATCTATGACTTGGTACAAATATGAAAGAAAGAAAAGTTGTTACCTTTATTGTCGTATTTGACAGGGGTTATCAGTCAAATTGAGACGTATATATTGTACCGCTGAGAACTAATCAGTTGAATGCGCTTGTGTCCATGCAGCAAAGCCATTACTTGAAAGGTGAGAGAGTTACCTACTAAGCTATTGAGATTCCTTAACAAAATTTTGTTGATGTTATTAGTATTTAGTGGAAGTAGCTCAGTAGATAAAGCCCTAACATTTAAGTCCCAGTCGGAACACCGACAATGACAAAAACACATGCAGCTGAGGAGTTCATTATAGGAGGAAAAATCTTGGATTTGATTGTTAATGTCTATCAGAATAGTTCTACTAGACGATGAGAAATTGCCAAAAGACAGTTAGGAGGGGAAAATGTTCTTTTTGACGAGTCATTTTCAAAAGCTACTTAAAATACTAAGTCTTCTATACAAGGACCTACTTAACAGACAGGAACCAATGAATTCATCCATGTGAGTTCAACCACCAGAAAATCAAAGATTCATTAGCATTTGTAACCTGTTAAATGAAAGGTGCTTAATCAAACCGATGGCTTAGTTGATGACTTCCAGTTATTTAAACAATGAATACTGAATTCGAGTTTCCCAAGAAAAAGCACTATTCACCGGGTCATGAATGCACCCAAATAGGGTGAAAAGAGTAATCTGGATTCTGCTGCCATTCAATACAGGTCTCAGTCGGTCTGATAAGTAGAAAAATTCAGGCGTTTGCATAATATGCTTAACTGGTAGCAGATGCTAACCAACTGAGACCTATGAGTGAAAAAATGGAAAAATCCAAACTTGAACTATGAAGTTTAAAAAAATTAACGGATGAAATATGCTGCTTCTATCAAATAATAAGTATATATATATATATACCTACGTGATTTAGTTTTACTTCAAAGCGGATGTTTTGTGAAGGAGACTAGCTAGTGTGAAGTTCGTTTATCAAGACGTTTAGTAGTCAGTGCGTTACATATCCTATTACTTTTTCCGAAACCAACTGATACTTGATAAGTGAGTTTAGTTAGGCCATGATATTTTTAAACTAGGGAAATTTATCTACAGACCAACAAACCAGTGAGTCAGGTAGCGGTGGCATCGAAAAATGTACGACAAAATATAAAGTAATTTGCTCTTTTATTTTTGGTATCTGGCAACTATTATTGAAGTAAAATACTATTAATTCATAAGTGATGAACCTTAAACACAGCAAATCTATTCCACCCAAATAAAGATGAGTATGAACAGAAAAATTCAGGTGAAGTGCATTATGGACTTTAATTTAAACTGTTAGCTGATAGAACTAACCACTGTCAGAACCGGGCATGTCACCGTGTAAGCTCTCTGTAGCGTGACTGACGTGAGTGGACATCATTCTGTTCAAACATTGTGTGAAATGAGTCATTTTGAGCAACATTTTGATGAATCTCCTAAATTATTGTAATTTATTCAATCTAGAGTACCACACTAGACTTACTTGACGACATGCCGGTAACTGGTAAAGAAAACTAACTGACACCTTTGAGTTTAGCAAAAATAAATACCAGTAAAATTTTGGAGTTACATTTCTAAACCATATTTCTTTAGATTAGGATCTTTCAGTTGGCTTAATTTTGTGAACTAAACTCGACCAATACTCAAAACTATACATATATGTGGATATTCGCAGTAACATTTTTTATTCACCCTGCATGATGGAATAGGATGCACCAATTTGTTG